TCATTTTTCCCCTCCCAACAGCCATTCGGAGAGCGATGCCAGGGAAGCTGCTGCAGTTACCAGCCAGTACCTTTGCCCCATTTCTGAGCAGCTGGTTGCAGACATCATGCAAGATACCAACAGTTTTGACTGAAGGTGAAGGGAAAGTCAATGCTCTGTCAGAGACAGCATGATTCTGCATGCACGCAGCTTTGAAAAAAAAAAAAAAAAAAAAAAAAAAGAAAAGCTATTGAATTTTGCTTAGTAAAAACTCTTCAGATCAGCAAATAAAATAAAATTCTGGAGCGCAGCCAAAAGAAAAAAAAAAAAAAGGCACAATAAAACCTCTTAGATAATAATCAAGAGTAAAATACATGTTAGTGTAAACTGTTGTCAATAGGTGGAGCCTGAGTGAAGCACATCACTTCTACTGTGTTAGCATCTGGATGCCTGCTTCTGAAGTTAAATAAAGATATGTTAGCTGAGCCTGTGCTTTGGCTGTAATTTGGGGAAACATGGTGAAGGTGGTACTGTTACTAGGTGTCGGGATGGGGGAAGGAGTATTTTGCTATGTTTACCCCACCAATATACACCAGCATGCTGGGACTAGCTGGTGGCTCTGGCTACATCTTCTGTGTCCGGGTTTCAGCACTGCCCACAGCTCAACTTTACAAAGAAGCCAGCATCAGGATTGGCTCCGTTTAGCAGAAACTGATGTGCTTGATTTTATTGCAAGGAATTATAATGAGAACTACACAGCATAGATATACCCCATAAATGCTGTTTTCGCTCTACTCTGCCCTCATATTTACTGGCCCAACCTTATCACTGCCAGTAAAGGCAAAGCTCTGCTGGAAGGAATTTGTTCCCATGATGTAATGAGGTTTACGTGTCATCTCTGCACCATGCTGCCTGGCAGAATCATAGAATATCCTGAGTTGTAAGGGACGCACAAAGATCACTGAGTCCAATTTCTAGATCCCCAAAGGACTACCTAAAAATCAGACCATGTGTCTGAGAGCTTTGTCCAAAGACTTCTTGAACTCCGGCAGGCTCAGTGCCATGACCACTGCCCTGGGGAGTCTGTCCCAGTGCCCAACCACCTCTGGGTGCAGAGCCTTTCCCTAACCCCCAGCCTGACCCTCCCCTGTCCCAGCTCCATGCCGTCCCCTTGGGTCCTGTCGCTATCCCCAGAGAGCAGAGCTCAGCGCCTGCCCCTCCGCTCCCCTCATGAGGGAGCTGCAGGCCGCCATGAGGCCTCCCCTCAGCCTGCTCTGCTCGGGGCTGAACAAACCAAGGGACTTCGGCTGTTCTTCATTTGCCTTGCGCTCTAGACACTTCACCATCGTTGTAGCCCTCCTTTCGACACTCTCTAACAGTTTTATATCCGTTTTATACTGTGGTGCCCAAACTGTACACAGTAGTCAAGGTGAAGCCACGTCGGGCAGAGTAGAGTGGGACAATCCCTTCCCTCGAAGTAAGTAATGTTATACCCCAGGATATGGTTGGCCCTTCTGGCTGCCAGGGGACACTGCTGGCTCGTGTTCAGCTTGCTGTCGATCAAAACCTCCAGATCCCTTTCTATGGGGTTGATATCTAGAATCTTGTCTCCCAGTCCATATGTATAACCAGGGTTGTCCCTTCCCAGGTGTGGAATCCAGCATTTGTTCTTGTCAAACTTCATATTGTTGGTGGTTGCCCAACTCTCCAACCTGTCCAGATCTCTCTTCAAGACCTCACCACTCGAAGGAGTCAACAGGTCCACCCAATTTGGTATTGTTGGTGAACTTGCTCAAAAAACCTTCAAGTTCTACATCCAAATAATTTATGAAAAAATTGAAGAAGACTGGTCCTAAAGTGGAGCCCTGGGGAACTCCACTAGTGACAGGTCACCATCCCAATGTAACCCCGTTTACAAAAACCCTTTGGGCCCGACCCATCAGCCAATTTTTTACCCATCTTATTATGTATTTATCTAACTGTACTCTGGTCATTCTGTCCAGAAGAATACTTCTGGACAGAGGCAGTATCAAAAGCTTTACTGAAATCCAGAAAGACTACTTCATCTGGTTTCCTTTGGTCAAATAGATGGGTGATCTTGTTGTAAAAGGAAACCAATTTTTTTAAATACGACCTTCCCCTTGTGAACCCAATTTGGCTGTTACCAATGACTGTGTTGTTCTTCAGGTGTTTTTCAATAACTCCCAGAATAATCTTCTCCATAATTTTACCAGGCACTGAAGTGAGACTGACAGGCCTGTAATTGTCAGGATCTTCTTTCTTTGCCCTTCTTGAAAACTGGAATCACATTTGCCAGCTTCCAGTCAATGGGGACCTCTTCAGATTCCAAAGACTGTTGAAAAATACTTGAGAGAGGTTCCACAATGACATCAGGCAGCTCTCTGAGTACCCTGAGATGAATCCCATCAGGCCCCATGGACTTATATGCATCCAGCTGGAGCAGCAAATCCCACAGAAATTCAGGGTTGACTGGGAGTTTATTGTTCCCACAGTCATGTAAGCACCCATCCCCTTACCGTGATGCTGTAAAGCTGTTCTCAAGGGCCTTGGCATTTTTTTTTTATTTTTGGTCTATATGAAATCTCTGGTAGGAAAGAAACTTCTTGGAGGAATTTTGGAGAGAGTTTTGACAATCTGTGTTTTGTTAAACTGTTTGGCTAAAATCAAAGAACTTTCCAGAATCAATTAGGATTTTAAAAGGAGCAGCAAGAGCAGCTGTCCTCTTTCTCTTCCTACACAAGGGACAAGTTGGAAACAATGGCTTTTGTCTGCACAACAAGTGGCCAAATGTCTTGCCATATGGTATTTGTTTTGGAAAAATGTACATAGGCTTAGAAAGAGACAGGTTGCAGAGAATTTAATACTATGAGGTTTCAGGAAGCTGCTGAGATGTAAGTAGCTGGCACCTGGATGGAGATTTGGGGGAGCATCTCTACAAAGAGCCACTGGTAGAAGGGGAACTGCCTCGTGCCTATAGAGTTGCTGGGAAATCAATCACTGGGCTATGTGTGAGCCTTGTCACTGTTTTTGGATCCACTCTGTTCACCTGGTAGGGGTCCTGATAGGGCGGCTGGGAATAACAAGTTTGTCTAAGAAACATAACTGATTATCTCAGCCTAGGGACTTACACAGGGTCTAGCTCTTTCCTTTGCCAGACAAAAAAAAGAGCAGCTAAGATGGCTTTGTGTTCACTGAAACCTTAAACTTTTTCAGAAATGGAATCAAGATACTTGTGAGCTGACTTTTAAAAATAATATATACATATATATATATATATGCTTTTCAGGACACTTTCTGCACATTTTTATCTTCTGGATCCAGACTGTACTACTTTTCATGGGAAACACTCTGTAATCTTTCACAGTATCCCTACTTCTCATCCTCCCAAGCCATTTTAATGGTGGGAGCATTAATTTGCCTCCTTTTGTCCTATCTTTGCTCCACATATGAGGTCTTCTGTCGGTAGATGCTCCTGTTACTGGATACATCAATGCATCATCCCCCAGTCCCCACCTGATAAACATCAGGACCTTCATTCTCAGCAGATTCTTCCTCAGAAAATGGTAGGTTTTTTATAAAAGGAAAGACATTCCTTTTGCAATGTAATGCACACCTGCCCCTGGCAGCACATGTGAAACAGCTGAGAACACATGTGAAACAACAGGTACAGCAGAAGCCTTATAGATAAATCAGACTGGCATCAAGTCATCTTGCTCTGAAAGAAAGACTTATCATAAAGAAATAAGACTTTGCTCAGGGAGGAGAGAGACTGAGGCACAGTTATTCCATTTGCCTCTTTTTGTCCACCTGGCAAAAAGGGCTCCCTTCTCTGCAGCACTTTCTGGCCATGCTCTGTGAAATAAAATAAAACAGAAAAATGGTGGCTAATCCCCTCAATTTAAATATAGGGAAATGAAGGCAAAAAAAAAAAAAAAAAAAAAGCTTAAACAGTTTGGGCAAAGTCCAGCTTATGTAAACACTAGCACAGTAAGGCACTAAGCCACTGCTTGGTGCTTTCTGCATGGTGCCGCTCCTACTTTCAACCCCTTCTTTTTTTTTCATGATAAAATCGGACTGTCTGAGAAAGTGATGGGACCACTGCTAAGCTCCTCTTAAACCAGTCCAGACTTTTGTCATCTTCAACCAACAGACCCTCTGAAGAGATTTGCTCCCATACTGGACAAAATTCTGGTTAAGAATCATATGCCTATGCCCCTTCAGGTCTTGACATGTTGTTTGACAAGAAGAAGTGAAAGAAGAAGCACCCCAAAGCCAGCTGTCAGCTATCCTCAAACATTTTAGCTGGTAGGGACACTCTGAGAGAGAATAAAATAAAATAAAATAAATAAAATAAAATAAAATAAAATAAAATAAAATAAAATAAAATAAAATAAAATAAAATAAAATAAAATAAAATCTTGTGGAAACAACGGGTCCAAGACATAGAATAAGCAGGAAAACCCAACTTCTTGGCTCCTCCAGAGCTGCCATCTCAACCCAACAACAACATGACAAACTGAAACTAGAAGAGACAAACCAGAGGTCATGGATTGGAAAGCAAAACCTGTTATAAAGGGGGACATAGGCCATGCAGAAGAAGTCTGAATAAAGTAAGTAAGCGCGTTGGGGCTGTATTAGTATTATTACGACTTGTTTCAATAAGAGATCTGGCCAAAATAGACAATATCTCTGGCATGTAAGAAAAATAGATTTCACCACTTCTACCCCAACAGGAAAGTCTGGAGTATACAGACAACTTCTGAATTGTCAGCTCTCATATTCTTTCTTGCTAATGCTTGTCTCAGGGAACTTGGGTCTGAGTTCTAAAATGCTTCAAATATTCCCTCGTTGCTAAAGAGAGTTTAAAGGAGGAAAGACTCAGGAACAAAGTAGTAATGGGAATTTATGCGTTATCATGTTCTGTGACCAGTTAATGTCTTATAAGTCATCCAATGAGGCAAAGAGGCAAAGGTTGAACTCGAGCAATCCATTCCAGCCAGCCAATGTTTTTTGCCTTCGTGAAGCAGTTCATGCAGGAGACAGTACTGGGAGAAACCGGGAGAGAAGAGGATCAGCTTAATTAGAAACATATTTTTTCAATGACTAGCAGCTCACCATGGATGTTTCTCACCTGCTTCTCACTTCTGTGCTCTTTCTACTGCCCTTCATAGCACAAGTTTCAGCACAACAACCAGGTAAGTTGTCGCAGGAGGTCTGTGACCACAGGATAATAATCCCTGTGGCACCAGCTTGTACCATTGCAGCTGGCAAAGGATTTTTACAGTCTTATTTTAAGACAGCTTTGTTCAAGAGCTTTCTCTTCAGTGGTAACCAGCAGGGTCTCATGTCTCACGCAATTGTGTCACAACATGAATACCTGGGCAAATTTGTATCTCATTTGTGTGTTTTTCCAGGATGTTCTGCCTCTGAAAATAAACCAAGCGTTGAAGAAAATAATCCTCCTGGATACAATGTGACCACTATCAATTCGGAAGCAGGTTTCACTGCAACGATTGATCCTTCCTCGTCAGATGCCAGTTATTTTACCATTGAGGGGTCTCAGCTGCAGCTGGTCAAAAGTGTGGACTATGAGGTAAGCTTTTAGCTGGCAGGCTGTAAGGATGAGATGGATAATGCTGGGAAGCAGTAGGTTTCAAGCTGGGGTCTTGGACTTCCAGGGATTTGTAGTCTATGTATAAAGTATCTAGGAAATATCTTCACTGTGCTTTAGTTCACTACTAGGGAGATCAGCCCTTGCACAGGCAGAGGGCAGGGAGGAGGGGGTTGCATTGTATGCCTGCTGTCACCTTCCTTCAATGAATCTATATGAATTAAAGCAAAGTGGAGGTTTAAAAACAGAAGTGTGACAACTGTGGTGTTCAGAGCTCTCCAGGATGCATGTAGAATGATCCTTATTTGCATGTATAAAATACAGTGCCGAGCAGTGAGGTAATCTTATGTTGAGCATAAAAGCAGTATAAAAGGTCAATGTGTTCAGTTAGGTCGCAGCTAAATTACTTTACCTACCTACCTTCTGCATGCAGCAACAAGTGTCCTTAAACTGCCATTCCCCTAATGTAGAATCCCATATTTGCATGAGGAACAGCAGACAGAGGCAATGCTGCACTTGGTGCATGACGTATTTCTGTTTCATTCAATTTAAAAAGAAATCCATTTGAACTTTCCTTAAGCGGGACAAAGTAGTTGATTAGCTCTACCACCGGGTTACAGGAATCACAAAGAAAGAAGATGGTGAATCAGTCAGCTTTGACCCCAGTAAAGCAAGGGCCCAGCACTGATGGATGGCTGCAAAAGAAAGAAAGGAAATGTTAGATATGCCCAAAACCAAGATAAAGCCCTTCTGATTCTGCAATGCATGCATTTGTCTCATTTACTTCAGAAAAAGTATATTCGGTATATTTTGGCTTGTTTCTAAAATGGCTCTGGTTTTATTTTTCCATACAGACTGATACTGCGCTGATAGTGAATGTGGTTTGCCGGGACACTTCTGGGCAGGTGAGTGCTCTTCCAAACATTTAGTTTTCTTACAAGGTATTGCAAGGAAGCACTTTCCTTATCTCTTCCTAACCCACAGACCAGGGTTAAGAGCCATCCTTTTCCTTCCCGGCATACACAGTCCTCTAATAGTCAAAGAAAGAGCACTCAAGGCTCTGTGAATAGGGAGATGTGGGAGCAAACTACAAATCTCACACCCTGTGGGCTGTCTGCAAAACCCAGCCCTGTTCAGCACCCACCAGCTGTGCTTCTCAAACCTTCATCTCCGTCACTCTGCAAACTGGGATCAGCCCCTAACAATCTTACCTTTGTGTTTGATTCTCTAATTTTTCAATTTCTGCAGACAAACACTTTGGAAATTATTGTGAGCATTACCAATCTGAACGATAACTCTCCAGTGTTTAAGCAAACAAGTCTCACCATAACTGTTCCTGAGGTAAGAGTTTCACATAAATGAAGAGGGCACTGGGTCAACCAGTGCTATGGGACCAGAGAGAGGTCTTCAGCCAATTGCACAGAGAAAATAACCACAACTTTGTTTCAGGACACAAAAGTGAATGCAACCATTATACCCCGTGAAGATTTAAGTGCTAGTGATGCTGATCTGGACATCATCTATTATGAACTCAATTCAACAGTGCAGGTGAGCATCTTTCTTTGGGGAGGGAAAAAAAAAAAAAAAAAAGTAAGTAAAAGCTTTTTGTTAAGTACAAGCACTGGTTTGGCTAGCAGACTGGAGCAATTGGTATTTCTGGTATTGAATTCTTCTAGTGCTCACACTTTTACTACATTATACAGACTACACTTTCATCTGGGATATTCTGAACCATATGATCCAGGGAAGTCATGCTGGGATGGTCTGTAAACATACCAGGAGAGACCTTTGCACCTTACAGAGTTCAGAATTGCACTGAGTCAGATAGGGGAAAAAAAGGAGTTATTGTCTCTTTGTCTACAGTGCCTATACAGAGTGGAGATATGAGTTGCCCAAAATCACCAAAGAAGTCTTTGTCAAAGCCAAAGGCAGGCCTGACTCTCCCCAGGTGCCAGTTTAGTGCCCTTTTTTTTTTTTTTTTTTTGCTCGATCTTAAGGGGTTTGCTTGATAAAGTGAGAAACAAATTGTAAGTACAGTTAGACTGATTCCAGGATAGATTGGAAATCTGGAAGGGTCTGCTAGAAGTAAAAATTTAAAAAAAATATATAAAAAAAATGTGGGATGACAAACACAGCAATGAGCAGTATTTTCAACATGTCTGTGATCAAGTATGCTAATAAAGCTTTTCCATTTATTTATTTATTTTTCCCCAGGACACCACCAATTATTTTGCCATAAAAGGAATCAATAATCCTGAAATATATTTGCAAAAACAATTAGATTATGATAAACTTAACTCAACAACATTGTTCTTGTATGCAAGGGTAAGTTCTTTAGGCAGAAAAAAATGCCTCATATGCCATAACGTCTCTTAACTAGAGGGCAAATCTGAACAGGAGATCTCTGGGGTGGCAAGAGGGAGGGTGGATACTGGAGGCAGTGGATTTGGAGCAGCTTTCTACCCTCCATAACCACACTGACTGCATCCAGAGTAGCATTCAGTCCACTGGTGTCAGCATCTAATTAACTGCTTTTGCTAATTTCATATAAACTGTCTCTCCTCAGAGAGAATGGAGTTAAAACAGCTAAAAGACCCTGGGTCACTGGCTTTTGCAGGTGGGTCCTTTTGGCAATAAAACTTGCAGTTTACAAATATGCTTTGCTTCTGGATATAGGACAGTCCTGTGAGCAGAAAAGAAATCACCCACACAGCTACTGCAACAATAAACATAATTATTGAGCAAGCTGACACCAAACCACCCTGGTTCCTACCCTGTAGCTTCATTGACGGGGACAAAAGCATTTGCATCAGTAGCCCCTATTCTGGAAGAGTCAATATATCCGAGATGTCGGTAAGTAGGCATGACCAAACTGTATCCCTGATGCTATTTTCTTGGTAGTGGGTAGTGCCTAATAATTTTCTAGAGCTTGTGCTGATCTCCAGACATAAATGCAGATAATTCAGCATGACAAGGAGTCTTCATCATCCTGGAAAGTGGAAGTTCCCCTCACTCAGAGGAGCACTGCTTGTCCTTGTTCCTACATCACGTTGCAGGAGAGGCAAGAGAAGGAAAACTCTTTTCTGTAGGCCTTCTCACCTCTCCCCTGTTACATCCATCCCCCATAATATATAATATAATATACAACAAATGGCATTCTCACAGTTTGAACCAGCAGAGCCATGATGGGATGGGAGAGTGCTAATAGGATTTGGTGCTGTAGTGTGCTGTGTAACACTTTGCCTTTCTATTGCAGAAAGAACCACTCACCCTGGATCCAGGGCCCATCTATGCTAAAGATCCGGACTACACTATAAATGAAAAAATTGTGTACAGTATAGTTGGTGGTGAGTAGAATTTCTCACCTTCTCCAAGCAGCCTTGCTTGTACATTCCTACATTATCTGCTGCCAAGAGGGGATGCCCTGCACAGCACTTGAGAATTGAGGGCCTGGAGATTTGCCCCTCTATTTCTGCTCCAAAATAATTAGATACACAGAACATTGTGGATTAAGTAGAAGAAACAGGCTGTACAAAAAGGAAGAGGAAGAGAATTGCAGACCCATAAGCCAAGCTCCATGAAGTCTGTTTCAGAAAGACTTTTGTTTTGGGGGGGGCGTGGGGAGGAGAATGATGTGTTTTATCTTTGAGATTTTAGACCTGATTTTGCCAGTCTGGTCACACCACTTTCATAGTCTTTGAGCTGAACCTAAAAACTCCCTCATCATCAGCATCATTTTCATTTATCACCAGAAACAATGCTCTTATTCCACTGTTCATTGCCACTGTCTAATCTGCCCTGTTTTAACCTTGATTTCAAAAAGTTTACTTGAATATAGTGAACTGATTGCCCAATCATTGACTGGGAGACCGGGCCACCTTCTCATTCAAAGGATTATTATTATTAATAGTGAGTTCTTGATTAATGATCAAGGCAAAGGCAGATCATATTGGTCAGGTGGAGTGATCAGTTGTTCATCTCTCTTATTTGTTCTACATGGCACCATATCTGTGAATATACTCCTGACAATAGAGATGCTAAAGAACCTCAAATTCCACTGGCATTTTGGAGGTAGTGTGACCTCAGTCCCCCACAGTAAAAAGGGAACCCCACACTGGGGACCCTTGTCTAAATAAAGCCCAAAGTATCTCAAAGTGAGGAAAATAAGCAAAAAATTGAACAATATTTTAATGTATATCCAACATAGATGGTTTTATGACTCGAAGACAGATGGCTCATGTAGGAGGTTGATTTCTACCCCTACATCAATACGAGAAGGTCTCTGTGTCTAGGCTCCTTTTGCAGGCAGCAGAGAAAAATAGGTGTTTCCAGAGCTGAATGCAGCTTATGTTGAGGCCAATGTCCATGAGTCAGATAAACAATGCACTAAGATGTCCCTTTCCCTTTACAGCCTAGGTAACAAGGTCAGGTAGAGATGTCTGCCTGGTAGATGCCTAGAGCTGTTTAAGATGAACCCCCACCCAACAAGGTGGGAGAGGCAAGGACAATGGCATCATTGCCTGGGGTTTGTTGTCGCCAATATGTGGAAAAATGAGCAATGAGTTCCAAATCCCTTTATGAAGGTATCCAGTGTTTTAATAGTCTTTCAATTTCTTTAGGGAATGTGGATAATACATTCTCAGTGGATGCGGACACAGGAAATCTAACTATGAACAAAGTAGCTACTTCCCCAGACTCGTACCTACTGCAGGTCATGGTAAGTCTGATGATATTGCATTCAGCCATCCAGCATAGCTGGCCTTCTAGGGAGCATCAGTCTTGCTGTGCCAGGAGTCAATTACATTAATAATGAAAGCTAACTTGTTCACACCCTTTATTGTGGAAGTATTTAGACCAAGTTTTTGAGCAGTATCTTATACGAATTTACATGCAAAACCCTTGCAGGAGTTGAGGCATTTTCTCTTATGTGTGGGTAGCACCATCAAAGCAAGTTACCTTAGCAAGTCTCTCCTGCTGAGTTCGAAGTATAGATGAACATAACTGGAAGGCATTCTGTAGGGGGGGGCTTGTCTTAAAGTAGCTAAAGTAACTCACTCCTAGAAACAAGCTCCTCTTTTGGTTACACAAAGCACTCCCTGCACCCAGAAAGATGTGGACTCTTAGATAGTAACAGAACTGACCCAATCCCTTGTGAATTTGAACAGTCTCTGTTTGCTGGTGTTGGAATCCTACTGCTTTGTACTTGGGCATGACAATTTGTCCAGAGCTGACCTTTATTAAGAGCCACATCTAGATTCTAGGGCTAGACCAAGATACTGTGGATGGCCAACTGCAGAAGCAAGCAAAGGCACACGGACCCCAAAACATAAGGTCCCCTGTGATAGGCCTGGCCCAAAACTCACTGAAAATGATGGAAAGAACCCTGTGTTAGAACACATTTTGGTCCAAACCTAACCTCTTATGTCTTGTCACTAACAGGAAAAGACTAGCATTTCTCTTTCTCTCTGTCTCTCTGTCTTTCTCCTGTGTACGTGTCTCTCCAGGCCGCCCAAGTCAACAACAAACAGAAATACTCCATAGTCAGTGTGGAGATTAAGGTCATCAATAAAAGTGACAATGCACCATACTTTGAGCACAGTAGCTACACAGGAATAGCATCTGTTGGTGCGGCCCCAAAAAGCCTTGTCTTCCAAGCTAAGGATCCTTCAAGTCCCCTGATGATAAAAGCAGAAGATGATGACTTCCCTGATGTAAGAAACCAAAAATGCACTGAATTCTTCCTTACTGCTTCAGTCTTAAAGCAGGATAAGAAAACATAAGGAAGGGGAGGTGGGGAGAGACAAATGCTAGCTTTCCTCTACTGTCCCAAATCATATTTATCTGGGACTTTTACATAGATCAGAATCATTTACAGTATGGTGGATAAGACTTGGGACTTTTTTTTAAGGGTGAATACACCCGAGTTCAAACTTCCTTTAGTTCATGTTTATTTACTGTACTATACACCCACTTATACTTCAGGCATATTTGACAAGTCCTGCTGACAGGTTGTTACAAAGATGCATGCAAAGCACTGTGTGGTTTAATCATTCACTTTTCTGGCGTTTCAGAAATTCAACCCAAACATTGAATACTACATAAAAAACAGCACTAACTTTGTTGCAACCAGAGATGGACTCATCCTGACCAATGTCAATCTGCTGTCACCAGAGACTGTAATCATGGAGGTAGGACAACTTCATATTTTGCCAGGGTTGTGGAAGGAAGGATTTTCTGACAGAGAAGCACCAAGGGTGGAATTCCATTAGATGTGGAATATAATGAAAGGACAGTCCTTGCCCCAACCATTTGTATCACAAATGTATAGGGATGGAGGGAGATGTAGTGGTAGTGAATGCACTCTGCGTGACATACATGTAAGCTACCATCTGGTGCTAGCTGAAAAAATGTTTCCTCTGTCCTCCTGTGGAAAATATCATTGGAGACAAGCAAAAGGTCAACTGGGGAGATTTTAGGACCCTTGTCCCACAGTCTGGTTTGGACTAAAAGATAAATAAATAAAGCAGAAAATATAAAATCTAAATTAATCCCCCAATTTCTACCCCAAAAGAGAAACCTACCAGATTTTTATTTTTAATTATTCCCCCTCCCCCATACATACCACCTAAGAGACATTGCAGACTTCATAGGTACAGAACAGAGGCTGCTTAAGTTTATTCTCAGAGGGAGAAAATACTGTGCTAATATTGAGTCCAGAGGAGGGCTCCTAAGGTGATCAGAGGACTGGAGCTCCTGTCGTATGAGGACAGACAGGGAGAGCTGGTTGTATTTAGCCTGGAAAAGAGAAGACTGAGGGAAGACCTCATCAATGTGTATAAATATTTGAGGTCAGGGTGTTAAGAGTATGGAACCAGTCTCTTTTCAGTTGAGGCCAGCGACAGGATGTGAGGCAATGGGAAAAAAATGAAGCACGGGAGGTTCCATCTGAATATGAGAGGGCACTTCTGTACTGTGAGGGTGACAGAGCACTGGAACAGGCTGCCCAGAGAGGTTGTGGAGTCTCCTTCTCTGAAGATTTTCAAAACCCACCTGGATGCAATTCTGTGCACCATGTGTTAGGTGACCCTGCTGGACAGGGAGGTTGGACTCAATGATCTTCAGAGGTCCCTTCCAACCTCAGCCATTCTCTGATTCTGTGATTCTGTAAATCCAGTACTTTTTTTGCTCGGATCAAGATGACCACAGAAGCAGCTAATAATTCTAGACTTTCTAAGAAGAACATATTCATGTTGCCCACCTGCCTGCCAGTGCCAAATGGCAATGCTAAAGTTTGCCTGGTACAATACCATGTCCTCTGGAGCTATCTGACACAGCTTGACTACAGCAATATTTTAGCTACATGGACAGCTGCTTGCAGGGTAAAAAGGCGTGCCAACATCATGCTGCTGCTGTCCCCCACTACCTCATTGCCGGTGTACAGCATTGCACTGTACTGCAAAGCTTTTTACAAATGATGAATGTGGTTTTGGCTGAGGGGACAGGGACTTTTCAGAACTCTTCTCCTGTGACCAGACTGCCTCTGCTACAATGCAAGGATATTGGGTTATTTTGAAGACATGATAAGGATATGGACGAGGTACTTTGTCCCCAAAGGGTCAACCACTTCCCTTGAGAGAAAGATATAAATCTAGAAAGTCCCTAAACTATCTCTTCCCCATGTTCACCCAGGCTGTTGCAAAAGATACAGTGAGTCTGCAGGAGGCGAGCACCATCATCGTGGTGGAGATTGTCTTTACTGCTACAGGTAGGCTGGATATCTCTTGGCTTTCTGGTACAGTGAGGTGACTGGGGAGTCTTTTCCACTTTCATGGACAAACTGGCAATGATAGGTCACACAGTGAAGTCTGTGGGCCTGGGCTAAGGCCAACCCTATATCTACTGGAGGTCCTATGGTGGCTATGACAGAGAAAATGCTCAAAAGACATCCTTAGGATATGGTCACCACGTGACTCAGATGAACTTTTGAGGCTTTAAGCAGTGCTGTGTGATGTAGCATCTCTTCTTTTTATTTCAAAATTAAATCTGTAGTTGCTTCATAGTGTTTTGTGAGTCAAAAATTACCCAGAATGTCAGAGGAGGATGGCCCTGACACCTTGGTACATCCTTGTTCCTTTTTTTGACTAAAACTAGAGAAAACTGCAGCATAATTTCCTGTCTTATGCAGGAGCAGACAGAAGTTGGCACACCCCCACAAAGCCAGGCTTCCTCATGAGCCTTGGCATTTTCTACTCAGGTCAGGACAAATTCTTATACTCCAAGATTTTAAGGCCTTTCCAGGAAAAACGACCCATGAGAAATGATAGACATGAGGCTACACACATAACCCTCCAGCTATCATTTGGATTTGCTGAGGTAAAAATAGCCTACTCTTCTGTACTTAGAAATTTCTCTTATAAATCAGTTAGATTTGAGGCTTATGAAGCTTTTTACACTCTGAATAGAGAGGAATCAATTTTGTGCATTTTCACATCAGGGCAGGTAGATCATGCCCAGACTTCACTGACTTCAACCTGATGTGTGCTTGAACGCCCCAATTGGGCTTTTCGATTACTTCATCCTCAGAGCCACCGCCATTGTGAGGATTACTGGAGGATGAAAACAGTGGGATCCTGGGTGTAAATTTGGTATCCCTGATGGTAGTGTCAATTCACAGTTGAAAACACCGTCTGCATTAAAATCACCTAAGCACAACTTTAGGTGACACAGTCCAGCTCAGCAGCAGGCTAGCTCAGGTGTCAGTACAGCAAGGTGTTAATGCTCCAAGCAGATGTACCAACAGGTGACTGCATCTTTTACATGTTACACTTGCTATTTAAACCCCACAAAATAATGATGCTGGTGACTATACAATGAAGTAGAGGGAAATTACACTGAATGGTTCAGAGCCTGTGAGGGGATTTGTGCTTTTTTCTGTACTACAGCTAGCATGCAGGAATGGCTCAAATAAGGATGAGATTACCATTTGCCTGGCTAAACAGTAGGCTATTTAACCCTCAGCTCAAATAGGTGATGTTAAGGAGTGTGTGTGCAATTGGTTAGAGGGTGCTTTACTAAGTGTCACAACATCCATGGGGAAAAAAAGAGTTCTTTTCAGTATGCCTTCTTTCCGAGAAGCGGTGACTGTACATTGACCTCTGGTTTCTGAGACATTGGTGCCAGAGCCAGCCTACGTGGATTTCAGCATGAGTCATCCCAGCAAGCTGAGCTAGCTTTGATGGAGGCACTGGGTGCTGCACAGCACAGAAGGAGTTAAGGGCGGTGGAGCTTCACATCAGCTCTGTGGGCTGTGGCTCCCTAGGAGACATGATTTAGAAGTGAAAATTCACTGACGTCCTAAAGCCTCACCAGTGTATTAATGATAAACTGAGGGTGCAATAAAATGCAGAGAGGGTGCTCAGAGTTCGTTGTCATAAATAGATCAGCAGGAGAATAAAATTGTGTTTCATTAATCATTAAACTTTAAAGAGATTAATTTACATTACAACATGAAGCCAAAAAACTTAAAAACAAAGAATCCCACTGACAACAACAAGTACAGCTGATTAGCTCTGAAGAAGTTACTGTCTCTCCACTGTAATGTTGATCTCCATACAAATATGCTTACGCTGCCCAGTGGCTGAAAGCATACGCAGTTCCTGAGGAGGTTGATATGTGTTGCTACAGCTACAAAGAGGGCACAAAAGGTTTTACTGTCTTGGGGACCTTCTAATGTTTTTCCTTCCCACATCCTGATGAAGCTGAGGTATATCCTGGGGAACAGCAAGTGTTGGGCAGAGATGAGAGACCCCAGAGTTAACCCAGGCTGGGCAGTGCTGAGTTTCTCCAAGCTGCTGCTTGAATAGTGCCCATGTGTCCATCACTCCTGTTAGAGTCACTAACTAAAAAGAGTCACTAAAAGTCTGCTATGCTATTTTAATGGTGGGAGCATTAATTTGCCTCCCTTTGTCCTATCTTTGCTCCACATATGAGGTTTTCTGTCGGTAGATGCTCCTGTTACTGGATACATCAATGCATCATCCCCCAGTCCCCACCTGATAAACATCAGGACCTTCATTCTCAGCAGATTCTTCCTCAGAAAATGGTAGGTTTTTTATAAAAGGAAAGACATTCCTTTTGCAATGTAATGCACACCTGCCCCTGGCAGCACATGTGAAACAGCTGAGAACACATGTGAAACAACAGGTACAGCAGAAGCCTTATAGATAAATCAGACTGGCATCAAGTCATCTTGCTCTGAAAGAAAGACTTATCATAAAGAAATAAGACTTTGCTCAGGGAGGAGAGAGACTGAGGCACAGTTATTCCATTTGCCTCTTTTTGTCCACCTGGCAAAAAGGGCTCCCTTCTCTGCAGCACTTTCTGGCCATGCTCTGTGAAATAAAATAAAACAGAAAAATGGTGGCTAATCCCCTCAATTTAAATATAGGGAAATGAAGGCAAAAAAAAAAAAAAAAATGCTTAAACAGTTTGGGCAAAGTCCAGCTTATGTAAACACTAGCACAGTAAGGCACTAAGCCACTGCTTGGTGCTTTCTGCATGGTGCCGCTCCTACTTTCAACCCCTTCATGATAAAATCGGACTGTCTGAGAAAGTGATGGGACCACTGCTAAGCTCCTACTCTCTTAAACCAGTCCAGACTTTTGTCATCTTCAACCAACAGACCCTCTGAAGAGATTTGCTCCCATACTGGACAAAATTCTGGTTAAGAATCATATGCCTATGCCCCTTCAGGTCTTGACATGTTGTTTGACAAGAAGAAGTGAAAGAAGAAGCACCCCAAAGCCAGCTGTCAGCTATCCTCAAACATTTTAGCTGGTAGGGACACTCTGAGAGAGAATAAAATAAAATAAAATAAAATAAAATATAAAATAAAATAAAATAAAATAAATAAATAAAATAAAATAAAATAAAATAAAATAAAATCTTGTGGAAACAACGGGTCCAAGACATAGAATAAGCAGGAAAACCCAACTTCTTGGCTCCTCCAGAGCTGCCATCTCAACCCAACAACAACATGACAAACTGAAACTAGAAGAGAGAAACCAGAGGTCATGGATTGGAAAGCAAAACCTGTTATAAAGGGGGACATAGGCCATGCAGAAGAAGTCTGAATAAAGTAAGTAAGCCCGTTGGGGCTGTATTAGTATTATTACGACTTGTTTCAATAAGAGATCTGGCCAAAATAGACAATATCTCTGGCATGTAAGAAAAATAGATTTCACCACTTCTACCCCAACAGGAAAGTCTGGAGTATACAGACAACTTCTGAATTGTCAGCTCTCATATTCTTTCTTGCTAATGCTTGTCTCAGGGAACTTGGGTGTGAGTTCTAAAATGCTTCAAATATTCCCTTGTTGCTAAAGAGAGTTTAAAGGAGGAAAGACTCAGGAACAAAGTAGTAATGGGAATTTATGCGTTATCATGTTCTGTGACCAGTTAATGTCTTATAAGTCATCCAATGAGGCAAAGAGGCAAAGGTTGAACTCGAGCAATCCATTCCAGCCAGCCAATGTTTTTTGCCTTCGTGAAGCAGTTCATGCAGGAGACAGCACTGGGAGAAACAGGGAGAGAAGAGGATCAGCTTAATTAGAAAAGTATTTCTTCAATGACTAGCAGCTCACCATGGATGTTTCTCACCTGCTTCTCACTTCTGTGCTCTTTCTACTGCCCTTCATAGCACAAGTTTCAGCACAACAACTAGGTAAGTTGTTGCAGGAGGTCTGTGACCACAGGATAATAATCCCTGTGGCACCAGCTTGTACCATTGCAGCTGGCAAAGGATTTTTACAGTCTTATTTTAAGACAGCTTTGTTCAAGAGCTTTCTCTTCAGTGGTAACCAGCAGGGTCTCATGTCTCACGCAATTGTGTCACAACATGAATACCTGGGCAAATTTGTATCTCATTTGTGTGTTTTTCCAGGATGTTCTGCCTCTGAAAATAAACCAAGCGTTGAAGAAAATAATCCTCCTGGATACAATGTGACCACTATCAATTCGGAAGCAGGTTTCACTGCAACGATTGATCCTTCCTCGTCAGATGCCAGTTATTTTACCATTGAGGGGTCTCAGCTGCAGCTGGTCAAAAGTGTGGACTATGAGGTAAGCTTTTAGCTGGCAGGCTGTACGGATGAGATGGATAATGCTGGGAAGCAGTAGGTTTCAAGCTGGGGTCTTGGACTTCCAGGGATTTGTAGTCTATGTATAAAGTATCTAGGAAATATCTTCACTGTGCTTTAGTTCACTACTAGGGAGATCAGCCCTTGCACAGGCAGAGGGCAGGGAGGAGGGGGTTGCATTGTATGCCTGCTGTCACCTTCCTTCAATGAATCTATATGAATTAAAGCAAGGTGGAGGTTTAAAAACAGAAGTGTGACAACTGTGGTGTTCAGAGCTCTCCAGGATGCATGTAAAATGATCCTTATTTGCGTGTATGAAATACAGTGCTGAGCGGTGAGGTAATCTTATGTTGAGCATAAAAGCAGTATAAAAGGTCAATGCGTTCAGTTAGGTCGCAGCTAAATTATTTTACCTACCTAAAGAGTTCTGCATGCAGCAACAAGTGTCCTTAAACTGCCATTCCCCTAATGTAGAATCCCATATTTGCATGAAGAACAGCAGACAGAGGTAATACCCTGCAGGAAATGCTGCACTTGGTGCATGACATATTTCTGTTTCATTCGATTTAAAAAGAAATCTGTTTGAACTTTCCTTAAGTGGGAGAAAATGGTTGATTAGCTCTACCACCAGGTTACAGGAATCACAAAGAAAGAAGACGGTGAATCAGTCAGCTTTGACCCTAGTAAACCAAGGGCCCAGCACTGATGGATGGCTGCAAAAGAAAGGAGGGAAATGTTAGATATGCCCAAAAACAAGAAAAGCCCTTCTGATTCTCCAATGCATGCATTTGTCTCATTTACTTCAGAAAAAGTCAGTATATTTTGGCTTGTTTCTAAAATGGCTCGGGTTTTGTTTTTGCATACAGACTGATACCGTGCTGATAGCGGATGTGGTTTGCCGGGACACTTCTGGGCAGGTGAGTGCTTTTCCAAACACTCAGTTCTCTTACAAGGTATTGCAGGGAAGCACTTACTTTCCTTGTCTCTTCCTATTCCACAGACCAGGGTTAAGAGCCATCCTTTTCTTTCCAGGCATACACAATCCTCTAATAGTTAAAGAAAGAGCACTCAAGGCTCTGTGAATAGGGAGATGTGGGAGCAAACTACAAACCCCACACCCTGTGGGCTGTCTGCAAAACCCAGCCCTGTTCAGCACCCACCAGCTATGCTTCTCAAACCTTCATCTCCGTCACTCTGCAAACTGGGATCAGCCCCTAACAATCTTACCTTTGTGTTTGATTCTCTGATTTTTCCATTTCTGCAGACAGACACTTTTCAAATTATTGTGAGCATTATCAATCTGAACGATAACACTCCAGTGTTTAAGCAAACAAGTCTCACCATAACTCTTCCTGAGGTAAGAGTTTCACATAAATGAAGAGGGCACTGGGTCAACCAGTGCTATGGGACTAAGGAATACCAGAGAGAGGTCTTCAGCCAATTTCACAGAGAAAATAACCACAACTTTGTTTCAGGACACAAAAGTGAATGCAACCATTATACCCCGTGAAGATTTAAGTGCTAGTGATGCTGATCTGGACAACATCTATTATGAACTCAATTCAACAGTGCAGGTGAGCATCTTTCTTTGGGGAGAAAAAAAAAAAAAAAAAAGTAAGTAAAAGCTTTTTGTTAAGTTAGCTTTTTGTTAAGTACAAGCATTGGTTTGGCTAGCAGACTGGAACAATTGGTATTTCTGGTATTGAATTCTTCTAGTGCTCATACTTTTATTACATTATACAGACTACACTTTCAATCTGGGATATTCTGAACCATATGATCCAGGGAAGTCATGCTGGGATGGTCTGTAAATACACCAGGAGAGACCTTTGCACCTTACAGAGTTCAGAATTGCACTGAGTCAGATAGGGGAAAAAAAGGAGTTATTGTCTCTTTGTCTACAGTGCCTATACAGAGTGGAGATATGAGTTGCCCAAAATCACCGAAGAAGTCTTTGTCAAAGCCAAAGGCAGGCCTGACTCTCCCCAGGTGCCAGTTTAGTGCCCTTTTTTTTTTTTTTTTTTGCTCGATCTTAAGGGGTTTGCTTGATAAAGTGAGAAACAAATTGTAAGTACAGTTAGACTGATTCCAGGATAGATTGGAAATCTGGAAGGGTCTGCTAGAAGTAAAAATTTAAAAAAAAATATAAAAAAAATGTGGGATGACAAACACAGCAATGAGCAGTATTTTCAACATGTCTGTGATCAAGTATGCTAATAAAGCTTTTCCATTTATTTATTTATTTTTCCCCAGGACACCACCAATTATTTTGCCATAAAAGGAATCAATAATCCTGAAATATATTTGCAAAAACAATTAGATTATGATAAACTTAACTCAACAACATTGTTCTTGTATGCAAGGGTAAGTTCTTTAGGCAGAAAAAAATGCCTCATATGCCATAACGTCTCTTAACTAGAGGGCAAATCTGAACAGGAGATCTCTGGGGTGGCAAGAGGGAGGGTGGATACTGGAGGCAGTGGATTTGGAGCAGCTTTCTACCCTCCATAACCACACTGACTGCATCCAGAGTAGCATTCAGTCCACTGGTGTCAGCATCTAATTAACTGCTTTTGCTAATTTCATATAAACTGTCTCTCCTCAGAGAGAATGGAGTTAAAACAGCTAAAAGACCCTGGGTCACTGGCTTTTGCAGGTGGGTCCTTTTGGCAATAAAACTTGCAGTTTACAAATATGCTTTGCTTCTGGATATAGGACAGTCCTGTGAGCAGCAAAGAAATCATCCACACAGCTACTGCAACAATAAACATAATTATTGAGCAAGCTGACACCAAACCACCCTGGTTCCTACCCTGTAGCTTCATTGACGGGGACAAAAGCATTTGCATCAGTAGCCCCTATTCTGGAAGAGTCAATATATCCGAGATGTCGGTAAGCAGGCATGACCAAACTGTATCCCTGATGCTATTTTCTTGGTAGTGGGTAGTGCCTAATAATTTTCTAGAGCTTGTGCTGATCTCCAGACATAAATGCAGATAATTCAGCATGACAAGGAGTCTTCATCATCCTGGAAAGTGGAAGTTCCCCTCACTCAGAGGAGCACTGCTTGTCCTTGTTCCTACATCACGTTGCAGGAGAGGCAAGAGAAGGAAAACTCTTTGCTGTAGGCCTTCTCACCTCTCCCCTGTTACATCCATCCCCCATAATATATAATATAATATACAACAAATGGCATTCTCACAGTTTGAACCAGCAGAGCCATGATGGGATGGGAGAGTGCTAATAGGATTTGGTGCTGTAGTGTGCTGTGTAACACTTTGCCTTTCTATTGCAGAAAGAACCACTCACCCTGGATCCAGGGCCCATCTATGCTAAAGATCCGGACTACACTATAAATGAAAAAATTGTGTACAGTATAGTTGGTGGTGAGTAGAATTTCTCACCTTCTCCAAGCAGCCTTGCTTGTACATTCCTACATTATCTGCTGCCAAGAGGGGATGCCCTGCACAGCACTTGAGAATTGAGGGCCTGGAGATTTGCCCCTCTATTTCTGCTCCAAAATAATTAGATACACAGAACATTGTGGATTAAGTAGAAGAAACAGGCTGTACAAAAAGGAAGAGGAAGAGAATTGCAGACCCATAAGCCAAGCTCCATGAAGTCTGTTACAGAAAGACTTTTGTTTTGGGGGGGGCGTGGGGAGGAGAATGATGTGTTTTATCTTTAAGATTTTAGACCTGATTTTGCCAGTCTGGTCATACCACTTTCATAGTCTTTGAGCTGAACCTAAAAACTCCCTCATCATCAGCATCATTTTCATTTATCACCAGAAATAATGCTCTTATTCCACTGTTCATTGCCACTGTCTAATCTGCCCTGTTTTAACCTTGATTTCAAAAGTTTACTTGAATATAGTGAACTGATTGCCCAATCATTGACTGGGAGACCGGGCCACCTTCTCATTCAAAGGATTATTATTATTAATAGTGAGTTCTTGATTAATGATCAAGGCAAAGGCAGATCATATTGGTCAGGTGGAGTGATCAGTTGTTCATCTCTCTTATTTGTTCTACACGGCACCATATCTGTGAATATACTCCTGATAATAGAGATGCTAAAGAACCTCAAATTCCACTGGCATTTTGGAGGTAGTGTGACCTCAGTCCCCCACAGTAAAAAGGGAACCCCATACTGGGGACCCTTGTCTAAATGAAGCCCACAGTATCTCAAAGTGAGGAAAATAAGCAAAAAATTGAACATATATTTTAATGTATATCCAACATAGATGGTTTTATGACTCGAAGACAGATGGCTCATGTAGGAGGTTGATTTCTACCCCTACATCAATACGAGAAGGTCTCTGTGTCTAGGCTCCTTTTGCAGGCAGCAGAGAAAAATAGGTGTTTCCAGAGCTGAATGCAGCTTATGTTGAGGCCAATGTCCATGAGTCAGATAAACAATGCACTAAGATGTCCCTTTCTCTTTACAGCCTAGGTAACAAGGTCAGGTAGAGATGTCTGCCTGGTAGATGCCTAGAGCTGTTTAAGATGAACCCCCACCCAACAAGGTGGGAGAGGCAAGGACAATGGCATCATTGCCTGGGGTTTGTTGTCGCCAATATGTGGAAAAATGAGCAATGAGTTCCAAATCCCTTTATGAAGGTATCCAGTGTTTTAATAGTCTTTCAAATTCTTTAGGGAATGTGGATAATACATTCTCAGTGGATGCGGACACAGGAAATCTAACTATGAACAAAGTAGCTACTTCCCCAGACTCGTACCTACTGCAGGTCATGGTAAGTCTGATGATATTGCATTCAGCCATCCAGCATAGCTGGCCTTCTAGGGAGCATCAGTCTTGCTGTGCCAGGAGTCAATTACATTAATAATGAAAGCTAACTTGTTCACACCCTTTATTGTGGAAGTATTTAGACCAAGTTTTTGAGCAGTATCTTATACGAATTTACATGCAAAACCCTTGCAGGAGTTGAGGCATTTTCTCTTATGTGTGGGTAGCACCATCAAAGCAAGTTACCTTAGCAAGTCTCTCCTGCTGAGTTCGAAGTATAGATGAACATAACTGGAAGGCTTTCTGTAGGGGGGGGCTTGTCTTAAAGTAGCTAAAGTAACTCACTCCTAGAAACAAGCTCCTCTTTTGGTTACACAAAGCACTCCCTGCACCCAGAAAGATGTGGACTCTTAGATAGTAACAGAACTGACCCAATCCCTTGTGAATTTGAACAGTCTCTGTTTGCTGGTGTTGGAATCCTACTGCTTTGTACTTGGGCATGACAATTTGTCCAGAGCTGACCTTTATTAAGAGCCACATCTAGATTCTAGGGCTAGACCAAGATACTGTGGATGGCCAACTGCAGAAGCAAGCAAAGGCACACGGACCCCAAAACATAAGGTCCCCTGTGATAGGCCTGGCCCAAAACTCACTGAAAATGATGGAAAGAACCCTGTGTTAGAACACATTTTGGTCCAAACCTAACCTCTTATGTCTTGTCACTAACAGGAAAAGACTAGCATTTCTCTTTCTCTCTGTCTCTCTGTCTTTCTCCTGTGTACGTGTCTCTCCAGGCCGCCCAAGTCAACAACAAACAGAAATACTCCATAGTCAGTGTGGAGATTAAGGTCATCAATAAAAGTGACAATGCACCATACTTTGAGCACAGTAGCTACACAGGAATAGCATCTGTTGGTGCGGCCCCAAAAAGCCTTGTCTTCCAAGCTAAGGATCCTTCAAGTCCCCTGATGATAAAAGCAGAAGATGATGACTTCCCTGATGTAAGAAACCAAAAATGCACTGAATTCTTCCTTACTGCTTCAGTCTTAAAGCAGGATAAGAAAACATAAGGAAGGGGAGGTGGGGAGAGACAAATGCTAGCTTTCCTCTACTGTCCCAAATCATATTTATCTGGGACTTTTACATAGATCAGAATCATTTACAGTATGGTGGATAAGACTTGGGACTTTTTTTTAAGGGTGAATACACCCGAGTTCAAACTTCCTTTAGTTCATGTTTATTTACTGTACTATACACCCACTTATACTTCAGGCATATTTGACAAGTCCTGCTGACAGGTTGTTACAAATATGCATGCAAAGCACTGTGTGGTTTAATCATTCACTTTTCTGGCGTTTCAGAAATTCAACCCAAACATTGAATACTACATAAAAAACAGCACTAACTTCGTTGCAACCAGAGATGGACTCATCCTGACCAATGTCAATCTGCTGTCACCAGAGACTGTAATCATGGAGGTAGGACAACTTCATATTTTGCCAGGGTTGTGGAAGGAAGGATTTTCTGACAGAGAAGCACCAAGGGTGGAATTCCATTAGATGTGGAATATAATGAAAGGACAGTCCTTGCCCCAACCATTTGTATCACAAATGTATAGGGATGGAGGGAGATGTAGTGGTAGTGAATGCACTCTGCGTGACATACATGTAAGCTACCATCTGGTGCTAGCTGAAAAAATGTTTCCTCTGTCCTCCTGTGGAAAATATCATTGGAGACAAGCAAAAGGTCAACTGGGGAGATTTTAGGACCCTTGTCCCACAGTCTGGTTTGGACTAAAAGATAAATAAATAAAGCAGAAAATATAAAATCTAAATTAATCCCCCAATTTCTACCCAAAAGAGAAACCTACCAGATTTTTATTTTTAATTATTCCCCCTCCCCCATACATACCACCTAAGAGACATTGCAGACTTCATAGGTACAGAACAGAGGCTGCTTAAGTTTATTCTCAGAGGGAGAAAATACTGTGCTAATATTGAGTCCAGAGGAGGGCTCCTAAGGTGATCAGAGGACTGGAGCTCCTGTCGTATGAGGACAGACAGGGAGAGCTGGTTGTATTTAGCCTGGAAAAGAGAAGACTGAGGGAAGACCTCATCAATGTGTATAAATATTTGAGGTCAGGGTGTTAAGAGTATGGAACCAGTCTCTTTTCAGTTGAGGCCAGCGACAGGATGTGAGGCAATGGGAAAAAAATGAAGCACGGGAGGTTCCATCTGAATATGAGAGGGCACTTCTGTACTGTGAGGGTGACAGAGCACTGGAACAGGCTGCCCAGAGAGGTTATGGAGTCTCCTTCTCTGAGATTTTCAAAACCCACCTGGATGCAATTCTGTGCACCATGTGTTAGGTGACCCTGCTGGACAGGGAGGTTGGACTCAATGATCTTCAGAGGTCCCTTCCAACCTCAGCCATTCTCTGATTCTGTGATTCTGTAAATCCAGTACTTTTTTTGCTCGGATCAAGATGACCACAGAAGCAGCTAATAATTCTAGACTTTCTAAGAAGAACATATTCATGTTGCCCACCTGCCTGCCAGTGCCAAATGGCAATGCTAAAGTTTGCCTGGTACAATACCATGTCCTCTGGAGCTATCTGACACAGCTTGACTACAGCAATATTTTAGCTACATGGACAGCTGCTTGCAGGGTAAAAAGGCGTGCCAACATCATGCTGCTGCTGTCCCCCACTACCTCATTGCCGGTGTACAGCATTGCACTGTACTGCAAAGCTTTTTACAAATGATGAATGTGGTTTTGGCTGAGGGGACAGGGACTTTTCAGAACTCTTCTCCTGTGACCAGACTGCCTCTGCTACAATGCAAGGATATTGGGTTATTTTGAAGACATGATAAGGATATGGACGAGGTACTTTGTCCCCAAAGGGTCCACCACTTCCCTTGAGAGAAAGATATAAATCTAGAAAGTCCCTAAACTATCTCTTCCCCATGTTCACCCAGGCTGTTGCAAAAGATACAGTGAGTCTGCAGGAGGCGAGCACCATCATCGTGGTGGAGATTGTCTTTACTGCTACAGGTAGGCTGGATATCTCTTGGCTTTCTGGTACAGTGAGGTGACTGGGGAGTCTTTTCCACTTTCATGGACAAACTGGCAATGATAGGTCACACAGTGAAGTCTGTGGGCCTGGGCTAAGGCCAACCCTATATCTACTGGAGGTCCTATGGTGGCTATGACAGAGAAAATGCTCAAAAGACATCCTTAGGATATGGTCACCACGTGACTCAGATGAACTTTTGAGGCTTTAAGCAGTGCTGTGTGATGTAGCATCTCTTCTTTTTATTTCAAAATTAAATCTGTAGTTGCTTCATAGTGTTTTGTGAGTCAAAAATTACCCAGAATGTCAGAGGAGGATGGCCCTGACACCTTGGTACATCCTTGTTCCTTTTTTTGACTAAAACTAGAGAAAACTGCAGCATAATTTCCTGTCTTATGCAGGAGCAGACAGAAGTTGGCACACCCCCACAAAGCCAGGCTTCCTCATGAGCCTTGGCATTTTCTACTCAGGTCAGGACAAATTCTTATACTCCAAGATTTTAAGGCCTTTCCAGGAAAAATGACCCATGAGAAATGATAGACATGAGGCTACACACATAACCCTCCAGCTATCATTTGGATTTGCTGAGGTAAAAATAGCCTACTCTTCTGTACTTAGAAATTTCTCTTATAAATCAGTTAGATTTGAGGCTAATGAAGCTTTTTACACTCTGAATAGAGAGGAATCAATTTTGTGCATTTTCACATCAGGGCAGGTAGATCATGCCCAGACTTCACTGACTTCAACCTGATGTGTGCTTGAACGCCCCAATTGGGCTTTTCGATTACTTCATCCTCAGAGCCACCGCCATTGTGAGGATTACTGGAGGATGAAAACAGTGGGATCCTGGGTGTAAATTTGGTATCCCTGATGGTAGTGTCAATTCACAGTTGAAAACACCGTCTGCATTAAAATCACCTAAGCACAACTTTAGGTGACACAGTCCAGCTCAGCAGCAGGCTAGCTCAGGTGTCAGTACAGCAAGGTGTTAATGCTCCAAGCAGATGTACCAACAGGTGACTGCATCTTTTACATGTTACACTTGCTATTTAAACCCCACAAAATAATGATGCTGGTGACTATACAATGAAGTAGAGGGAAATTACACTGAATGGTTCAGAGCCTGTGAGGGGATTTGTGCTTTTTTCTGTACTACAGCTAGCATGCAGGAATGGCTCAAATAAGGATGAGATTACCATTTGCCTGGCTAAACAGTAGGCTATTTAACCCTCAGCTCAAATAGGTGATGTTAAGGAGTGTGTGTGCAATTGGTTAGAGGGTGCTTTACTAAGTGTCACAACATCCATGGGGAAAAAAAGAGTTCTTTTCAGTATGCCTTCTTTCCGAGAAGCGGTGACTGTACATTGACCTCTGGTTTCTGAGACATTGGTGCCAGAGCCAGCCTACGTGGATTTCAGCATGAGTCATCCCAGCAAGCTGAGCTAGCTTTGATGGAGGCACTGGGTGCTGCACAGCACAGAAGGAGTTAAGGGCGGTGGAGCTTCACATCAGCTCTGTGGGCTGTGGCTCCCTAGGAGACATGATTTAGAAGTGAAAATTCACTGACGTCCTAAAGCCTCACCAGTGTATTAATGATAAACTGAGGGTGCAATAAAATGCAGAGAGGGTGCTCAGAGTTCGTTGTCATAAATAGATCAGCAGGAGAATAAAATTGTGTTTCATTAATCATTAAACTTTAAAGAGATTAATTTACATTACAACATGAAGCCAAAAAACTTAAAAACAAAGAATCCCACTGACAACAACAAGTACAGCTGATTAGCTCTGAAGAAGTTACTGTCTCTCCACTGTAATGTTGATCTCCATACAAATATGCTTACGCTGCCCAGTGGCTGAAAGCATACGCAGTTCCTGAGGAGGTTGATATGTGTTGCTACAGCTACAAAGAGGGCACAAAAGGTTTTACTGTCTTGGGGACCTTCTAATGTTTTTCCTTCCCACATCCTGATGAAGCTGAGGTATATCCTGGGGAACAGCAAGTGTTGGGCAGAGATGAGAGACCCCAGAGTTAACCCAGGCTGGGCAGTGCTGAGTTTCTCCAAGCTGCTGCTTGAATAGTGCCCATGTGTCCATCACTCCTGTTAGAGTCACTAACTAAAAAGAGTCACTAAAAGTCTGCTATGCTATTTTAATGGTGGGAGCATTAATTTGCCTCCCTTTGTCCTATCTTTGCTCCACATATGAGGTTTTCTGTCGGTAGATGCTCCTGTTACTGGATACATCAATGCATCATCCCCCAGTCCCCACCTGATAAACATCAGGACCTTCATTCTCAGCAGATTCTTCCTCAGAAAATGGTAGGTTTTTTATAAAAGGAAAGACATTCCTTTTGCAATGTAATGCACACCTGCCCCTGGCAGCACATGTGAAACAGCTGAGAACACATGTGAAACAACAGGTACAGCAGAAGCCTTATAGATAAATCAGACTGGCATCAAGTCATCTTGCTCTGAAAGAAAGACTTATCATAAAGAAATAAGACTTTGCTCAGGGAGGAGAGAGACTGAGGCACAGTTATTCCATTTGCCTCTTTTTGTCCACCTGGCAAAAAGGGCTCCCTTCTCTGCAGCACTTTCTGGCCATGCTCTGTGAAATAAAATAAAACAGAAAAATGGTGGCTAATCCCCTCAATTTAAATATAGGGAAATGAAGGCAAAAAAAAAAAAAAAAATGCTTAAACAGTTTGGGCAAAGTCCAGCTTATGTAAACACTAGCACAGTAAGGCACTAAGCCACTGCTTGGTGCTTTCTGCATGGTGCCGCTCCTACTTTCAACCCCTTCATGATAAAATCGGACTGTCTGAGAAAGTGATGGGACCACTGCTAAGCTCCTACTCTCTTAAACCAGTCCAGACTTTTGTCATCTTCAACCAACAGACCCTCTGAAGAGATTTGCTCCCATACTGGACAAAATTCTGGTTAAGAATCATATGCCTATGCCCCTTCAGGTCTTGACATGTTGTTTGACAAGAAGAAGTGAAAGAAGAAGCACCCCAAAGCCAGCTGTCAGCTATCCTCAAACATTTTAGCTGGTAGGGACACTCTGAGAGAGAATAAAATAAAATAAAATAAAATAAAATATAAAATAAAATAAAATAAAATAAAATAAAATAAAATAAAATAAAATAAAATAAAATCTTGTGGAAACAACGGGTCCAAGACATAGAATAAGCAGGAAAACCCAACTTCTTGGCTCCTCCAGAGCTGCCATCTCAACCCAACAACAACATGACAAACTGAAACTAGAAGAGAGAAACCAGAGGTCATGGATTGGAAAGCAAAACCTGTTATAAAGGGGGACATAGGCCATGCAGAAGAAGTCTGAATAAAGTAAGTAAGCCCGTTGGGGCTGTATTAGTATTATTACGACTTGTTTCAATAAGAGATCTGGCCAAAATAGACAATATCTCTGGCATGTAAGAAAAATAGATTTCACCACTTCTACCCCAACAGGAAAGTCTGGAGTATACAGACAACTTCTGAATTGTCAGCTCTCATATTCTTTCTTGCTAATGCTTGTCTCAGGGAACTTGGGTGTGAGTTCTAAAATGCTTCAAATATTCCCTTGTTGCTAAAGAGAGTTTAAAGGAGGAAAGACTCAGGAACAAAGTAGTAATGGGAATTTATGCGTTATCATGTTCTGTGACCAGTTAATGTCTTATAAGTCATCCAATGAGGCAAAGAGGCAAAGGTTGAACTCGAGCAATCCATTCCAGCCAGCCAATGTTTTTTGCCTTCGTGAAGCAGTTCATGCAGGAGACAGCACTGGGAGAAACAGGGAGAGAAGAGGATCAGCTTAATTAGAAAAGTATTTCTTCAATGACTAGCAGCTCACCATGGATGTTTCTCACCTGCTTCTCACTTCTGTGCTCTTTCTACTGCCCTTCATAGCACAAGTTTCAGCACAACAACTAGGTAAGTTGTTGCAGGAGGTCTGTGACCACAGGATAATAATCCCTGTGGCACCAGCTTGTACCATTGCAGCTGGCAAAGGATTTTTACAGTCTTATTTTAAGACAGCTTTGTTCAAGAGCTTTCTCTTCAGTGGTAACCAGCAGGGTCTCATGTCTCACGCAATTGTGTCACAACATGAATACCTGGGCAAATTTGTATCTCATTTGTGTGTTTTTCCAGGATGTTCTGCCTCTGAAAATAAACCAAGCGTTGAAGAAAATAATCCTCCTGGATACAATGTGACCACTATCAATTCGGAAGCAGGTTTCACTGCAACGATTGATCCTTCCTCGTCAGATGCCAGTTATTTTACCATTGAGGGGTCTCAGCTGCAGCTGGTCAAAAGTGTGGACTATGAGGTAAGCTTTTAGCTGGCAGGCTGTAAGGATGAGATGGATAATGCTGGGAAGCAGTAGGTTTCAAGCTGGGGTCTTGGACTTCCAGGGATTTGTAGTCTATGTATAAAGTATCTAGGAAATATCTTCACTGTGCTTTAGTTCACTACTAGGGAGATCAGCCCTTGCACAGGCAGAGGGCAGGGAGGAGGGGGTTGCATTGTATGCCTGCTGTCACCTTCCTTCAATGAATCTATATGAATTAAAGCAAGGTGGAGGTTTAAAAACAGAAGTGTGACAACTGTGGTGTTCAGAGCTCTCCAGGATGCATGTAAAATGATCCTTATTTGCGTGTATGAAATACAGTGCTGAGCGGTGAGGTAATCTTATGTTGAGCATAAAAGCAGTATAAAAGGTCAATGCGTTCAGTTAGGTCGCAGCTAAATTATTTTACCTACCTAAAGAGTTCTGCATGCAGCAACAAGTGTCCTTAAACTGCCATTCCCCTAATGTAGAATCCCATATTTGCATGAAGAACAGCAGACAGAGGTAATACCCTGCAGGAAATGCTGCACTTGGTGCATGACATATTTCTGTTTCATTCGATTTAAAAAGAAATCTGTTTGAACTTTCCTTAAGTGGGAGAAAATGGTTGATTAGCTCTACCACCAGGTTACAGGAATCACAAAGAAAGAAGACGGTGAATCAGTCAGCTTTGACCCTAGTAAACCAAGGGCCCAGCACTGATGGATGGCTGCAAAAGAAAGGAGGGAAATGTTAGATATGCCCAAAAACAAGAAAAGCCCTTTTGATTCTCCAATGCATGCATTTGTCTCATTTACTTCAGAAAAAGTCAGTATATTTTGGCTTGTTTCTAAAATGGCTCGGGTTTTGTTTTTGCATACAGACTGATACCGTGCTGATAGCGGATGTGGTTTGCCGGGACACTTCTGGGCAGGTGAGTGCTTTTCCAAACACTCAGTTCTCTTACAAGGTATTGCAGGGAAGCACTTACTTTCCTTGTCTCTTCCTATTCCACAGACCAGGGTTAAGAGCCATCCTTTTCTTTCCAGGCATACACAATCCTCTAATAGTTAAAGAAAGAGCACTCAAGGCTCTGTGAATAGGGAGATGTGGGAGCAAACTACAAACCCCACACCCTGTGGGCTGTCTGCAAAACCCAGCCCTGTTCAGCACCCACCAGCTATGCTTCTCAAACCTTCCTCTCCGTCACTCTGCAAACTGGGATCAGCCCCTAACAATCTTACCTTTGTGTTTGATTCTCTGATTTTTCCATTTCTGCAGACAGACACTTTTCAAATTATTGTGAGCATTATCAATCTGAACGATAACACTCCAGTGTTTAAGCAAACAAGTCTCACCATAACTCTTCCTGAGGTAAGAGTTTCACATAAATGAAGAGGGCACTGGGTCAACCAGTGCTATGGGACTAAGGAATAATTACCAGAGAGAGGTCTTCAGCCAATTTCACAGAGAAAATAACCACAACTTTGTTTCAGGACACAAAAGTGAATGCAACCATTATACCCCGTGAAGATTTAAGTGCTAGTGATGCTGATCTGGACAACATCTATTATGAACTCAATTCAACAGTGCAGGTGAGCATCTTTCTTTGGGGAGAAAAAAAAAAAAAAAAGTAAGTAAAAGCTTTTTGTTAAGTTAGCTTTTTGTTAAGTACAAGCATTGGTTTGGCTAGCAGACTGGAACAATTGGTATTTCTGGTATTGAATTCTTCTAGTGCTCATACTTTTATTACATTATACAGACTACACTTTCAACTGGGATATTCTGAACCATATGATCCAGGGAAGTCATGCTGGGATGGTCTGTAAATACACCAGGAGAGACCTTTGCACCTTACAGAGTTCAGAATTGCACTGAGTCAGATAGGGGAAAAAAAGGAGTTATTGTCTCTTTGTCTACAGTGCCTATACAGAGTGGAGATATGAGTTGCCCAAAATCACCGAAGAAGTCTTTGTCAAAGCCAAAGGCAGGCCTGACTCTCCCCAGGTGCCAGTTTAGTGCCCTTTTTTTTTTTTTTTTTTTTGCTCGATCTTAAGGGGTTTGCTTGATAAAGTGAGAAACAAATTGTAAGTACAGTTAGACTGATTCCAGGATAGATTGGAAATCTGGAAGGGTCTGCTAGAAGTAAAAATTTAAAAAATATATATAAAAAAAATGTGGGATGACAAACACAGCAATGAGCAGTATTTTCAACATGTCTGTGATCAAGTATGCTAATAAAGCTTTTCCATTTATTTATTTATTTTTCCCCAGGACACCACCAATTATTTTGCCATAAAAGGAATCAATAATCCTGAAATATATTTGCAAAAACAATTAGATTATGATAAACTTAACTCAACAACATTGTTCTTGTATGCAAGGGTAAGTTCTTTAGGCAGAAAAAAATGCCTCATATGCCATAACGTCTCTTAACTAGAGGGCAAATCTGAACAGGAGATCTCTGGGGTGGCAAGAGGGAGGGTGGATACTGGAGGCAGTGGATTTGGAGCAGCTTTCTACCCTCCATAACCACACTGACTGCATCCAGAGTAGCATTCAGTCCACTGGTGTCAGCATCTAATTAACTGCTTTTGCTAATTTCATATAAACTGTCTCTCCTCAGAGAGAATGGAGTTAAAACAGCTAAAAGACCCTGGGTCACTGGCTTTTGCAGGTGGGTCCTTTTGGCAATAAAACTTGCAGTTTACAAATATGCTTTGCTTCTGGATACAGGACAGGCCTGTGAGCAGCAACGAAATCACCCACACAGCTACTGCAACAATAAACATAATTATTGAGCAAGCTGACACCAAACCACCCTGGTTCCTACCCTGTAGCTTCATTGACGGGGACAAAAGCATTTGCATCAGTAGCCCCTATTCTGGAAGAGTCAATATATCCGAGATGTCGGTAAGCAGGCATGACCAAACTGTATCCCTGATGCTATTTTCTTGGTAGTGGGTAGTGCCTAATAATTTTCTAGAGCTTGTGCTGATCTCCAGACATAAATGCAGATAATTCAGCATGACAAGGAGTCTTCATCATCCTGGAAAGTGGAAGTTCCCCTCACTCAGAGGAGCACTGCTTGTCCTTGTTCCTACATCACGTTGCAGGAGAGGCAAGAGAAGGAAAACTCTTTTCTGTAGGCCTTCTCACCTCTCCCCTGTTACATCCATCCCCCATAATATATAATATAATATACAACAAATGGCATTCTCACAGTTTGAACCAGCAGAGCCATGATGGGATGGGAGAGTGCTAATAGGATTTGGTGCTGTAGTGTGCTGTGTAACACTTTGCCTTTCTATTGCAGAAAGAACCACTCACCCTGGATCCAGGGCCCATCTATGCTAAAGATCCGGACTACACTATAAATGAAAAAATTGTGTACAGTATAGTTGGTGGTGAGTAGAATTTCTCACCTTCTCCAAGCAGCCTTGCTTGTACATTCCTACATTATCTGCTGCCAAGAGGGGATGCCCTGCACAGCACTTGAGAATTGAGGGCCTGGAGATTTGCCCCTCTATTTCTGCCCCAAAATAATTAGATACACAGAACATTGTGGATTAAGTAGAAGAAACAGGCTGTACAAAAAGGAAGAGGAAGAGAATTGCAGACCCATAAGCCAAGCTCCATGAAGTCTGTTTCAGAAAGACTTTTGTTTTGGGGGGGGCGTGGGGAGGAGAATGATGTGTTTTATCTTTAAGATTTTAGACCTGATTTTGCCAGTCTGGTCATACCACTTTCATAGTCTTTGAGCTGAACCTAAAAACTCCCTCATCATCAGCATCATTTTCATTTATCACCAGAAACAATGCTCTTATTCCACTGTTCATTGCCACTGTCTAATCTGCCCTGTTTTAACCTTGATTTCAAAAAGTTTACTTGAATATAGTGAACTGATTGCCCAATCATTGACTGGGAGACCGGGCCACCTTCTCATTCAAAGGATTATTATTATTAACAGTGAGTTCTTGATTAATGATCAAGGCAAAGGCAGATCATATTGGTCAGGTGGAGTGATCAGTTGTTCATCTCTCTTATTTGTTCTACATGGCACCATATCTGTGAATATACTCCTGACAATAGAGATGCTAAAGAACCTCAAATTCCACTGGCATTTTGGAGGTAGTGTGACCTCAGTCCCCCACAGTAAAAAGGGAACCCCATACTGGGGACCCTTGTCTAAATAAAGCCCACAGTATCTCAAAGTGAGGAAAATAAGCAAAAAATTGAACATATATTTTAATGTATATCCAACATAGATGGTTTTATGACTCGAAGACAGATGGCTCATGTAGGAGGTTGATTTCTACCCCTACATCAATACGAGAAGGTCTCTGTGTCTAGGCTCCTTTTGCAGGCAGCAGAGAAAAATAGATGTTTCCAGAGCTGAATGCAGCTTATGTTGAGGCCAATGTCCATGAGTCAGATAAACAATGCACTAAGATGTCCCTTTCTCTTTACAGCCTAGGTAACAAGGTCAGGTAGAGATGTCTGCCTGGTAGATGCCTAGAGCTGTTTAAGATGAACCCCCACCCAACAAGGTGGGAGAGGCAAGGACAATGGCATCATTGCCTGGGGTTTGTTGTCGCCAATATGTGGAAAAATGAGCAATGAGTTCCAAATCCCTTTATGAAGGTATCCAGTGTTTTAATAGTCTTTCAATTTCTTTAGGGAATGTGGATAATACATTCTCAGTGGATGCGAACACAGGAAATCTAACTATGAACAAAGCAGCTACTTCCCCAGACTCGTACCTACTGCAGGTCATGGTAAGTCTGATGATATTGCATTCAGCCATCCAGCATAGCTGGCCTTCTAGGGAGCATCAGTCTTGCTGTGCCAGGAGTCAATTACATTAATAATGAAAGCTAACTTGTTCACACCCTTTATTGTGGAAGTATTTAGACCAAGTTTTTGAGCAGTATCTTATACGAATTTACATGCAAAACCCTTGCAGGAGTTGAGGCGTTTTCTCTTATGTGTGGGTAGCACCATCAAAGCAAGTTACCTTAGCAAGTCTCTCCTGCTGAGTTCGAAGTATAGATGAACATAACTGGAAGGCTTTCTGTAGGGGGGGCTTGTCTTAAAGTAGCTAAAGTAACTCACTCCTAGAAACAAGCTCCTCTTTTGGTTACACAAAGCACTCCCTGCACCCAGAAAGATGTGGACTCTTAGTAACAGAACTGACCTAATCCCTTGTGAATTTGAACAGTCTCTGTTTGCTGGTGTTGGAATCCTACTGCTTTGTACTTGGGCATGACAATTTGTCCAGAGCTGACCTTTATTAAGAGCCACATCTAGATTCTAGGGCTAGACCAAGATACTGTGGATGGCCAACTGCAGAAGCAAGCAAAGGCACACGGACCCCAAAACATAAGGTCCCCTGTGATAGGCCTGGCCCAAAACTCACTGAAAATGATGGAAAGAACCCTGTGTTAGAACACATTTTGGTCCAAACCTAACCTCTTATGTCTTGTCACTAACAGGAAAAGACTAGCATTTCTCTTTCTCTCTGTCTCTCTGTCTTTCTCCTGTGTACGTGTCTCTCCAGGCCGCCCAAGTCAACAACAAACAGAAATACTCCATAGTCAGTGTGGAGATTAAGGTCATCAATAAAAGTGACAATGCACCATACTTTGAGCCCAGTAGCTACACAGGAATAGTATCTGTTGGTGCGGCCCCAAAAAGCCTTGTCTTCCAAGCTGAGGATCCTTCAAGTCCCCTGATGATAAAAGCAGAAGATGGTGACTTCCCTGATGTAAGAAACCAAAAATGCACTGAATTCTTCCTTACTGCTTCAGTCTTAAAGCAGGATAAGAAAACATAAGGAAGGGGAGGTGGGGAGAGACAAATGCTAGCTTTCCTCTACTGTCCCAAATCATATTTATCTGGGACTTTTACATAGATCAGAATCATTTACAGTATGGTGGATAAGACTTGGGACTTTTTTTTTTTTTTTTTGGGGGGGGGGGGGGCAAAACTTTTAGTATACATTCTTAAACTCAGAGCAAGAGGGTGAATACACCCGAGTTCAAACTTCCTTTCGTTCATGTTTATTTACTGTACTATAACACCCACTTATACTTCAGGCATATTTGACAAGTCCTGCTGACAGGTTGTTACAAAGATGCATGCAAAGCACTGTGTGGTTTAATCATTCACATTTCTGGCTTTTCAGAAATTCAACCCAAACATTGAATACTACATAAAAAACAGCACTAACTTCGTTGCAACCAGAGATGGACTCATCCTGACCAATGTCAATCTGCTGTCACCAGAGACTGTAATCATGGAGGTAGGACAACTTCATATTTTGCCAGGGTTGTGGAAGGAAGGATTTTCTGACAGAGAAGCACCAAGGGTGGAATTCCATTAGATGTGGAATATAATGAAAGGACAGTCCTTGCCCCAACCATTTGTATCACAAATGTATAGGGATGGAGGGAGATGTAGTGGTAGTGAATGCACTCTGCGTGACATACATGTAAGCTACCATCTGGTGCTAGTTGAAAAAATGTTTCCTCTGTCCTCCTGTGGAAAATATCATTGGAGACAAGCAAAAGGTCAACTGGGGAGATTTTAGGACCCTTGTCCCACAGTCTGGTTTGGACTAAAAGATAAATAAATAAAGCAGAAAATATAAAATCTAAATTAATCCCCCAATTTCTACCCCAAAAGAGAAACCTACCAGATTTTTATTTTTAATTATTCCCCCTCCCCCATACATACCACCTAAGAGACATTGCAGACTTCATAGGTACAGAACAGAGGCTGCTTAAGTTTATTCTCAGAGGGAGAAAATACTGTGCTAATATTGAGTCCAGAGGAGGGCTCCTAAGGTGATCAGAGGACTGGAGCTCCTGTCGTATGAGGACAGACAGGGAGAGCTGGTTGTATTTAGCCTGGAAAAGAGAAGACTGAGGGAAGACCTCATCAATGTGTATAAATATTTGAGGTCAGGGTGTTAAGAGTATGGAACCAGTCTCTTTTCAGTTGAGGCCAGCGACAGGATGTGAGGCAATGGGAAAAAAATGAAGCATGGGAGGTTCCATCTGAATATGAGAGGGCACTTCTGTACTGTGAGGGTGACAGAGCACTGGGACAGGCTGCCCAGAGAGGTTGTGGAGTCTCCTTCTCTGAAGATTTTCAAAACCCACCTGGATGCAATTCTGTGCACCATGTGTTAGGTGACCCTGCTGGACAGGGAGGTTGGACTCAATGATCTTCAGAGGTCCCTTCCAACCTCAGCCATTCTCTGATTCTGTGATTCTGTAAATCCAGTACTTTTTTTGCTCGGATCAAGATGACCACAGAAGCAGCTAATAATTCTAGACTTTCTAAGAAGAACATATTCATGTTGCCCACCTGCCTGCCAGTGCCAAATGGCAATGCTAAAGTTTGCCTGGTACAATACCATGTCCTCTGGAGCTATCTGACACAGCTTGACTACAGCAATATTTTAGCTACATGGACAGCTGCTTGCAGGGTAAAAAGGCGTGCCAACATCATGCTGCTGCTGTCCCCCACTACCTCATTGCCGGTGTACAGCATTGCACTGTACTGCAAAGCTTTTTACAAATGATGAATGTGGTTTTGGCTGAGGGGACAGGGACTTTTCAGAACTCTTCTCCTGTGACCAGACTGCCTCTGCTACAATGCAAGGATATTGGGTTATTTTGAAGACATGATAAGGATATGGACGAGGTACTTTGTCCCCAAAGGGTCAACCACTTCCCTTGAGAGAAAGATATAAATCTAGAAAGTCCCTAAACTATCTCTTCCCCATGTTCACCCAGGCTGTTGCAAAAGATACAGTGAGTCTGCAGGAGGCGAGCACCATCATCGTGGTGGAGATTGTCTTTACTGCTACAGGTAGGCTGGATATCTCTTGGCTTTCTGGTACAGTGAGGTGACTGGGGAGTCTTTTCCACTTTCATGGACAAACTGGCAATGATAGGTCACACAGTGAAGTCTGTGGGCCTGGGCTAAGGCCAACCCTATATCTACTGGAGGTCCTATGGTGGCTATGACAGAGAAAATGCTCAAAAGACATCCTTAGGATATGGTCACCACGTGACTCAGATGAACTTTTGAGGCTTTAAGCAGTGCTGTGTGATGTAGCATCTCTTCTTTTTATTTCAAAATTAAATCTGTAGTTGCTTCATAGTGTTTTGTGAGTCAAAAATTACCCAGAATGTCAGAGGAGGATGGCCCTGACACCTTGGTACATCCTTGTTCCTTTTTTTGACTAAAACTAGAGAAAACTGCAGCATAATTTCCTGTCTTATGCAGGAGCAGACAGAAGTTGGCACACCCCCACAAAGCCAGGCTTCCTCATGAGCCTTGGCATTTTCTACTCAGGTCAGGACAAATTCTTATACTCCAAGATTTTAAGGCCTTTCCAGGAAAAACGACCCATGAGAAATGATAGACATGAGGCTACACACATAACCCTCCAGCTATCATTTGGATTTGCTGAGGTAAAAATAGCCTACTCTTCTGTACTTAGAAATTTCTCTTATAAATCAGTTAGATTTGAGGCTTATGAAGCTTTTTACACTCTGAATAGAGAGGAATCAATTTTGTGCATTTTCACATCAGGGCAGGTAGATCATGCCCAGACTTCACTGACTTCAACCTGATGTGTGCTTGAACGCCCCAATTGGGCTTTTCGATTACTTCATCCTCAGAGCCACCGCCATTGTGAGGATTACTGGAGGATGAAAACAGTGGGATCCTGGGTGTAAATTTGGTATCCCTGATGGTAGTGTCAATTCACAGTTGAAAACACCGTCTGCATTAAAATCACCTAAGCACAACTTTAGGTGACACAGTCCAGCTCAGCAGCAGGCTAGCTCAGGTGTCAGTACAGCAAGGTGTTAATGCTCCAAGCAGATGTACCAACAGGTGACTGCATCTTTTACATGTTACACTTGCTATTTAAACCCCACAAAATAATGATGCTGGTGACTATACAATGAAGTAGAGGGAAATTACACTGAATGGTTCAGAGCCTGTGAGGGGATTTGTGCTTTTTTCTGTACTACAGCTAGCATGCAGGAATGGCTCAAATAAGGATGAGATTACCATTTGCCTGGCTAAACAGTAGGCTATTTAACCCTCAGCTCAAATAGGTGATGTTAAGGAGTGTGTGTGCAATTGGTTAGAGGGTGCTTTACTAAGTGTCACAACATCCATGGGGAAAAAAAGAGTTCTTTTCAGTATGCCTTCTTTCCGAGAAGCGGTGACTGTACATTGACCTCTGGTTTCTGAGACATTGGTGCCAGAGCCAGCCTACGTGGATTTCAGCATGAGTCATCCCAGCAAGCTGAGCTAGCTTTGATGGAGGCACTGGGTGCTGCACAGCACAGAAGGAGTTAAGGGCGGTGGAGCTTCACATCAGCTCTGTGGGCTGTGGCTCCCTAGGAGACATGGTTTAGAAGTGAAAATTCACTGACGTCCTAAAGCCTCACCAGTGTATTAATGATAAACTGAGGGTGCGATAAAATGCAGAGAGGGTGCTCAGAGTTCGTTGTCATAAATAGATCAGCAGGAGAATAAAATTGTGTTTCATTAATCATTAAACTTTAAAGAGATTAATTTACATTACAACATGAAGCCAAAAAACTTAAAAACAAAGAATCCCACTGACAACAACAAGTACAGCTGATTAGCTCTGAAGAAGTTACTGTCTCTCCACTGTAATGTTGATCTCCATACAAATATGCTTACGCTGCCCAGTGGCTGAAAGCATACGCAGTTCCTGAGGAGGTTGATATGTGTTGCTACAGCTACAAAGAGGGCACAAAAGGGTTTACTGTCTTGGGGACCTTCTAATGTTTTTCCTTCCCACATCCTGATGAAGCTGAGGTATATCCTGGGGAACAGCAAGTGTTGGGCAGAGATGAGAGACCCCAGAGTTAACCCAGGCCGGGCAGTGCTGAGTTTCTCCAAGCTGCTGCTTGAATAGTGCCCATGTGTCCATCACTCCTGTTAGAGTCACTAACTAAAAAGAGTCACTAAAAGTCTGCTAAGTGAGAAAAAGTATGTGTCCTAGGGAGCTGTGAGACTACTTGTCTTCTCCTGGAGGTGAAAAGGACTCTCCTCTGTCACAAAGAGCCTGATATGTCTAGTATGGGGACAGGAATCAGTTTCAAGAAGAAAATTACAATAACAAATTCAGCAAAAATCCTTCCAACAAAAACCTTCATGACATAATCCCTTTCTTTGGCCATAAACATGGTTTCTAGTACCTTTGCATTTATCAGCATAACCAAGATACTATTGTACCCTCATCTGCTAATATACAAAGAAGTCAGACCTGACCTGGCTGGTCATATTGACACCAGAGTCAATTCCTCTCCTTCCAAGGAGCACATTGTTTTTCTATTTTTATTTCCTGTTCTAACATGCTCATTAGTATCAGAGGTGAAGTTCCGCATTAAAGAAAGCTTTACATTTTCACATACATATTTACAAACATGCCTCATTTTTGCATGCTGGTGGAAATGGGTGAAGTGGGAACAGACAAGATTGACCTAGCTCTACTTCTGCTTGCCTAATACAGTCATGTACATATTTGTTTAAATAAACCATAGGGTAAACATCATAGTCTAGTAAATAGATGTTATTTCCACTTTATGTAACTTCTTGCAAGCTATAATATTCTGTGAGTGGCCACTTTAATAGAAACCTCTGCTTCTAGGACAGAAAATGAATGGCCTTCTATGACATTAAATATATCACTGCCACATTCTACTGCACAGGGTGCTTCTTTGCCCTTCAAAAACTGTTCAGAGCTTTGCTCACAATGAAGTGTTGTGCTTAAAAGCTCGTTGCCATTTTTAGACTTTGTAACATTGGATTGCTTTTTTTTTGTAGATAAAATCACCTCTGATAAGTTATACACTGCACAGGATATGGGTATCTTAGGTGGTATCTTAGCAGCACTGTTGCTGATTACCTTAATCTTCCTTGGACTGATGATATACAAACATTATGGGACTACGGTCAAATTCCTAATAAATAAAAAGGTAAGTCACTTTTTTGTACCTGATTCACATTAAGAATTTCTTAGAGGTAGGAGGGGGGACCTGAGGAAGACTTAGAATATGGATGGGCTGTCCAAATACTAAACATTTGTGTGACGGTGATGAATCATTCCTGAGACAATATTTGCAAAGGCAGTATCACTTTGGTGATGTTTGTTATTGATCTTTTTTTGTCCTCTGAGGCTGGAGCCATATGGTAGTTGAACAGACATAGTAAGGAGAGGAGCACGGCTCCACAGAGCACAAAATCTAGGATGAATGTGACACAGTCCAGAGGTGGTCTCTGAGAATCATGTGCCTGTGGTATAAACCACTTCACATCCTTTCTCGATAGACAGTGGAGAGAAAGAGCACTTCTTATCCTATCCTAAGGCTTGGCCTTAGACAACCAAGTTTTGGACACCTAGGAACTGGACACCTAGGGAATTTGTCTTAACCTAATCTGAAGTGTATCCGATGCATATGACATATCCTGCTCTACTCAGTGCTTTTGTATTCTCAAATACAAAGTGCTGGCCGAATTATAGTTTGCATAGGAACAAATGGATGCTGGCAGACAACCTTGAACACCTAAAATGCAGGAACAATGCATCTAGACAATAGCCAGGCAATAACATATCTTTCATCACCAATGGTCCCAGTAATTCTCCATGGTCTCTGGGTTTTAAAGTAGTTTTGAGATTGAAAAGCTGTCCTTAAGGTCATTTGCTAGGCTAAATTCTTCATAGTAATTGCCACCTACATGTAAAGAAAGAACAGCACTGTTTAACTGTTTAGAGTGTGTTGTTGCAGTTGTTAAGTTTTTATTTTTTATTCTTGAAAGGAAGGGAGTGAACAAAAAAAACCACACATGCTAAAAACAAAACAAACAAACAAACAACAACAACAAAAACAAGCAGAAAAATGAGAGTTCCTGCCTAATAGCAGGAAATTTGACCTGGACTTGGTAGGCAGCATGTTTACTTGGTATCAGAGAACATTTCTCCACCAGCATCAAGAGGGTCCAGGGTCTTGCTTGTACATATTCAAGAAAGGCCAGATGAGTAACTTTAGTCACACATCTACATCCCATTTAATTTTCTTTCACTGCACTCACAAGACGTCTCTCCTCCTGTAGTTCTCCAAGGATTTCCCTGAGAGCTATGAGAACCAAGCTTACAATCAAGATGAACACCCAGATCTGAGTGCCAAAGAGCAGAAGAGCTCAGAAAATGGTGGTATAACTGAGCTACAGCAGCCATCGTTTTTCTTGTCCTCTTCTAAAGAAGAAATAGATGGCCTCCCAAAGACTTCCACAGCTTCCACAGTCGTCTTTGACGTGGAAGAGAAAGAGGAAGAGGAAAACGAAGAGGAAGAGGTGAAAGAAGACACTAAGCATGAGAAAGAAGTAAAGTCTATCCTCAAAACAGACAGGAATGAGGGGGATCATGGCTACAAAGCTGTGTGGTTTAAGACCGATGTGGATCCAGATGCTGGAGAAAAGGTTGAAGTGATTAAGGACAATGCATCAGATTATGATGATGACAGTGATCAAGATCTGCAGGAGAATGAGGAGGAAGAAGATGACAAGGATGATCACCACAGAGGGTCAGGGGCTGCAGAAGTGATGATTAACATGTCTCGCACAGCGTCACAAGATAGCATTATTGTGTAATGGAAATAAGCCTGTATGCTCCCCACTGAAATCAGGGAATCTCTGCTGCTTTGCTGAGATGGAGCCCACCTTTCTGCTTGGGGCTAACTGGAATGCAGGAGGACACAGTTGCCTCTCCTGCATGCAGAGATTAAAGCCAGATTACAATTAATTTAACTTCTTAACAAGACCTTGAAACACCACATGGGATTTTGGATGGGGAAAACATGTCTCATCTCTCCACCCTTCTGCCTGTTTGCCCTGGAGTCCCCTACATCACATTTCCCATACTGGCTGCAGGAATAGCAGAGATATAGCTACACTGACTTTGAAGCAGTTAACTCAGCTCATGGTAGCAATTTAATTGCACAATCCAATGCCCTCATCTCCGCCTGGTGGGTAACTGAGCCAGCACTGACTGCTTGGCTGTTCCTGTTAGGGTGGTTGCAGGTTGATGCCAGCTGCAGGGCATAAGCCAGCACAAGTCACTCTGCAGTTGCTCATATGACTGCATCCAGGAGCACACATCAGGGCTTGGCTATGCTCTCTGCACCCCAGCACAAGCAACTGGCATGACATTCAAGGAGACTGGGAGCAGCAGGAGTGCCACAACAGGTCACCTTTTTGCCAGTAAGCGGGTGTTCAAATGCTCGGGAGCTGCTGTTTCTTCCATCAATGATAAGCAAGGACGGATCACATGCTCTTTCCTAAGGACTTTGCCACACATTTTTCTATGTCACAAGACAACTAATCGTGCTGTACCTTGTGGGCCAGATAAGAGCTTCTGCCAGAACCTGCCGACAAAATGCCAGGGGTATTTCCAGCTCCCAGGGATTTTGGCAGCAATAGATATCATTCTGGGGTGCTGGATGTAGGTCAGCACGTTGCTTCCCATTGTGTCCTTTGTGCAGCAGGACTCGAGGTATCCCTTATAAAAGGGACTTCATTGTCACTGAAAGTGGAAGGTCAGCATTTGCTTCCAAGTGCCTGACATCACTGCCTTCTCTGCCCCTCACTTGTGGATGCAAGCCTCTTTGCATTCCCACCTTTCTCCATTCATGAGAAGCCCAGCAGGCTCTTTTACTGGTGAAATACAATCTTCAGGATTCACCGAGGGCTGAGCTGTAGCCTGAAAAAGGAGGTAGTTCGCTGAGAGCAAGTAATCTCTGCCGTGTGTGGCTTTTGAGCCTAGGTTTGTGCTAGAAAGGCTGCTAACATGATGGACTCCTCCCTCAATCCTCCCTCATCTTTCAGCAATCTTGTCTTCAGCTGTGGTCCTGCCATCAGTTCAGCAAAGATAATACGCCATTGCCTGGCAGCATGGGGATTGGTACTTCAGTCCAGATTCACAACAGCAAATTGCTTCTCCCAGCTGGCAATCAAAAACCGGGATGTTTTCCACTGACTGAGAACATGGCCGTTTGCATTTGAATCTTCTGATCTATCAACACAAAATTTGTGCTGCTGCTGGTTTTCCACTGGGGGGCTAGCTCAGGGCAGATGCGGGCTGTGGAGCATTAAACTTTCAGTAAGACAGGGACGATAAACCTGGGTCACAAATCTTTATCTCACTTGCTCAGGTTAGCACAACAGCACAGAACTGTAACATTATAAGTGTCCTTTGAGAGAAGCAACAACAATAAGTACTCCTGCCTTTGCCCTGCAGGGCAAATCTCCACATTTCTTCCTTTAATCTAGATAAACCCTTAAGAGAGTGAAACCAAAATACGTCTGCCGGGATTCTCATCTACACCAAAACACAGGACAATCACTTCTGAGCAGGCTTTCATCTAGGTTTATACTTTGTTTCTGTACATCTCCCCATCCCAGTGTTGTTAGTGCTCATCTCTGTTGTCCTGTCTCTGAGGAGAGCTAACCTCGCTGTGTGTGGACTTCAGGAGCTGCACTTTTGCTGAAGGTGGAGACTGAGATATGGAAAGCTTTCGTCCTTACTGCAATAAAGCTATTTGCCCAGAAATTACAGGTGTGGTTTGACTGATAACGGAGGGTGGGGAGTGTGCCCTGTGTCTACTTTGTAAGCACAGTACCTCCAGTAACTTAGGGTTATGTCCTGCAGAAGCTTCCCATGGGACTGTAAGAACTCTCCAGCAGTTGATGGTTGCTACTGCACCACCTTCAGCCATCAGCAAGGGTAGAGCCAAGCCTGCCCTCTGTGCTGGTGTTACCCATGGGAAGCTGATGGGTGGGTGAAGCTGGAATGTTTCTACTCTGGTTCCCTCCAGGCATTTGCTTTATTCATCTCATCTGGCTAACGGTCCAAAAAATGGGCCACCAGCTTGCCATACACCAACAATCAGCATTTGTGATGGTGTTACAAGCAGTGCTAAGTGTCCTGCTGACTAGGGATCTTTTTTTCAAGGTAGGATTGTGTCCTGGGGCAGTGGTTGACATAATCTAGCATACAAAGAACAAAGGGGTGATCTCTGTGGAAGGCAAGCAGAAAACTGACCGAAGAAGCAGCTGTTGTGCTAACGAAAGAGCAAGTTCTCCCCATCGGGTGGGCAAAGAGAACAGACACAGCACTGTGTTTTCTAACATGTGAGAGTGCGAAGAGACTGCAAAAGGACAAAGGAGGTTTATGAGAGGGAGCAAAGTGCAGAAAAAAGCAACCTGGTGTTCAGCAGCCCCTCTGCTCCATTTTTGCTGCATTTGGGACCAGTATGTACCAGCTTCCATTTATTGCTACCCACAGCTCTGCAACATGGGTTACAATTGGCTGTTCCTGCTTTGGTGCATTATTAAGGAGCCTTGAATTATTTTAGCATAATGACCTGAGAAGTGACTGACTGGCACTGGGAAGAAGTGCTGATTGACAGATCATCTCTGTCTTTAACGAACCAGCAAAAATATTTCTGGAGAAATGTTGGCACGCAGATGTGTATACTGAAAGCAAGGAACATAGGCCAGGCCCAAATCAGTCCAGGTGCACTTGGATATGGAGTACTGGCTTGGTGTCTACTGTAGCACAGCAAATTTGGCCCCACCAGCCATTACTAAAGATGATACCACCACAGTGATGGTGGGACATGCATATTCATGCACTTCGTGTTACAGCAGAAATACCTCTCTCAAAGCTGCTAAAAGCAGGCCCACAAAGTCCAGGTTGGCAGAGATGTTCCTCCACCTACTTGGATGGCTGAAAAGGCAGCAATGAGAACTGGTGATGGAGGGCAAGAGCTAGATTGGTGGGGTCTGCGATCATGTTCAACCACTTCCCCCCAGTTTTAGCAAAAATTCTGAGTGGAGTGTTTTCCATGGGCATTACCAGAGACACAACTTTCCTCTCACTTTTACATTTGGAGACTGCTTTCCTGTGGATCATCCTTCTCCAACTCTTCTTCCTTCACAGCTGAAGAAAAAAAAAATCAAATCCTTTTCTGCTTTTCTAGAAGACTGTTTTATGATAACCTGTGAGCCATGTCTGAAATAAATGGTTTCCAGCAGAATGTAGCTCCTGGTGGCTGACACAGCATAGCTGCTCCATTTCCCCCTTTTTCTGTGCCACGTGATCTATTCCCGTCTCTTGGCACAGTGTTGCACTTTGCCCTCTGCTGCTGTGCTGTTTGTGCTGATGGGTACATGCATTGGCAAACTGATTTATGTGCCCTCTCGATCTGCACTCTGTACTCATTTGTTGGTGCTTTTCTTCATCCCATTGGTGTACTTCTCATGCTTTCAGCTTTATGTTTTGGCATGCAGTTTGAATTTGGGCACCTTCAGTTTGCTCTTCATTGTTTTTTTGGCTTCCCTCCCTTGGCATGCAATTGGAATTCTATCAATTTACCATTCACCTGCCAGGCTCCTTGCTGGCAGTTTGTTCCTCTGCAGCCCCAGCTGACCATTCTGTTCCTATGCAAGATTTGATGGTCTTGTTCTTTTATCCAGCAAAATTAATACTGGAAGAAAACAGAACAAAACAAAACAAAAACAAACAAACAGATAAACAAACAAAAAACCCACCACAAAAAAAAAAAAAAAAAAAAAAAAAAAAAAAGAACAAACAAAAAACAGAACTCAGTGATTGTTAAGGCAAGTTACATAGCAACACTCAGGAGTGAAAATGTGTTCAAATAGTGCCATCACAAGGACAGCAAAGGCATCTGTCTTTAATTCTACACACCTTGAATTAGAAATTGGAAAGATAAGGTGCTTCTGCAGACTTCTTTCTGTACTCGACCATTACTTCAGAGCCATTCAGTGAATTAGGGTCTCTTGTGAGCACGAAGGTTTCATACCTGATGGCATACCATGAGGGCTCAGAGATCCATACTTCACCTTTCCAATTATATTGCAAAAAATCATGGTCTCACAGATAAAGATGTATTTATTCCTGGTAAGAAGACAAAAGAAAATCCTTCCTTTTCTTGGCATGAATTTGACATACAAAGTTAGTAACACCTTCAGTCGTGTTTCACTTGCTCATTCTCTTCCTTCTCAGTGAGATTTCAGATTTCATTTAAGAAGGTGTCGTCTGATATTCCATGTGTGTTCCGTTCCCCAGAAAAAGCCTCTCCTGGGAGGTAGGTCAAGGATGGGTTTCCTACCAGTCACCAGTGTGCACCATCAGAAATTATGGGAGATGTGGATGGTTGTGAAGTCTCCTGAAGTCTTTTTTTCCTGAGTCTAAGGGGTGTGGGATGGGGGGTGTCCTGGCCAAAGAGGAGAGCTGGCACTGTGAGGATCCTCAGCGGTTGGTCCTGCACCTACCACAGCTGAGCAGTCCCACTAGTTGTCTGGGGATGCTCCTTGGAGCTGTGTGCAACCTTTGGGGTTGTTCCAAGGGGTTCCTGAGGAGGGGCTGGCACAGGATTCAACATGGAGAAGGGCCTCCTTTCCATGGAAAGGATACTGGTCTGGAGGGCAAGAAGAAATTCAAGAGATCCTGACCCTACTCTTTTGTTACCAGGGTTTCCCCAGTTAACTAAAAGCTTCCTTTTATTAATTTATTTAAAGCAACATGTTTCTGTGGTATAGACAATTAACAACAGAGAAAGAACACAAGCAAGAGTGTTTTTCTCTCTGGATCTCTTCTTCCCTCTTTCCTATTGGCTTCCCTTGTAGTAACCTCTTTTCTATCCCAAAACACGCATGATTTGGGAACTCAAGGGGTCTTAAACACAGTTGCCAGGACAGAGCTTCTGGCATCTGCAGCAGCTGTCATTTTAGGGACTCTGCTCCTCTCCTTGCTATGGCAAGATAGTGTCCAGGCCTGGGCATCATGAATTTTCCTTATAAAAAAGTCCTGTGAATGGCTTTTCTGAAGCAAAGGGAGGCAGGTCTATGGGGGCTCCCACTTTTGCTGTCATTGTTTACCCCTAGGACAGTGGGACTCTTAGCAAAGTGGAGATGCTAAAATCCAGCTTTAAATGCAAAATAAAGGGAATACCAGCCCTGGACTCTCCAAGCTGATCCGTACAGCTGTTTGGCAAAGTACAGTAGTGTAGACAACCTCCTCAAGATTTCCAGGATTTTGCATGGGAAGGATTACCTCTATACTGGGCACCACAGAAGTAATCCTACCCACATGAAAGGGAAGTTTCTAGTCCACAAATTGGAAATAAAACAAAAGTTCTGTTAGGAAGAATAAATTCCATTAGAGGAAAAGCATTACAATATTGGTTCCGTGTGGATATAAAATGTTAATGCATTTCAAATATATCTCTAAGACTAATATTTCAAATTTGACAGATTCAGTTAAACCATTCTTTTCTTTTGATTTTCTACCTCTAGCATCAGTAAACAGAGCCACAGTATTTATTATTTCAGGGTTATACTTGTATCCATTCAAAGGAAGTTACATTTTGTAAATATTAAGTCTATGATGCTGGTTGTTTTGTTGTTGGGAGAGCTAATAAAACTTGGCAGCAGGCAGCACTCAGCATCTGTGAGTTACTGCTGTTAAAGTCTCCACATCCTATATTCTTTTCTCTTGTCTTGGGCCTGCCCTGACAGTATTTTTGGTTTAAGTAAATCATTAGAACTGGATGAAAAAATAGCAATGACTCTGAAAAATGGTAAACAAAGCACTTCATTTTTATTATGCTTCTAATGTTTTACACCTACTTTTGATTTTGTTAGCTTTTATTTATTTATTTATTTATTTACTTATTTTAAGTTGAACTCCATCTCAGGTTACGCTGAGCTTAGTTGGATTTCTTGTTTGTGTGTTTATTTTGGGAAGGTTGACTAACTTTTTGCAACACTGTAGAAGAAACTTTTATTTATAAATATTTACATGAGAAATAGATAGAAATATACTTAGTTACAGAAATGTTCTTCTGTTTTTTTCAGGCCAGTCATAAGCCTTTTGATAAAACAAAGTAACTGAACTGTGTTTCAATAAGCTTCTAAACAAATGTCATAGGCTCACATACAAGTATTATGAGGAGCATATTGTGTTATATATGCTCCTATATATATTATGTATATAAATGTTATATAAAGTATTAACATTTCCTGAGGCAGGCAGGCACTGGTTTCTGCATTGGCCCTTTTCTGTCCAGGACTGAGAAGTATATGTGTTTATTCTGAGTAGTTTTTGATGACAAATAAACATCTAAATATCTTTAAAATCTCATCTTTAAACTCCAAAGCCATTCAAATCTTTTTCAAAGTTTAACTCTACAGGTTGATTTATAAATTTCACCCCAACCCCATCTTTCATCCCATTCACAGCCAAGCTCTGATTTTTATTTCCATACCAGCTGATATAAACATTTTTTTAGTATTTTTAGTACACATATCTGTAAAAAGCCAACTTTGGACTTGGACTTTGGCTTTGGAAATGGCTGCCTTTCTCTACTGATTATTTTATTTGTTTTACTGATGCAAAAATCAGGTAGGAGAATCTCTCTGATAAATACAAACCACTAAGGAACAAAATATACAGAAATAAGAACCTTCAATACTTCCCTGCTGGAGTTAAATAAATAAATAAATAAATTTTTGGATTTGAGTTTACAAATGGTGACTGAAATGCATTGCAGAAATGACCCAGAGACTGGAGACATTCCTGAGCTTTGAGCACCCTCTTCTGGAGTAACATGCACCTAAGAAGAGGCCATTTAATTTTCTTTCTCAGCCTAGGAAGAGAAAAGAGGAAACATCCCCTCTTGGCTGCCAGGGAAAACTGTAAACCTAAATTGAAATCGACAGATACAGACAGGGAATTTGAAAAATCAAGAAGTGAAATACAGGCGTTTTACCTTTAGGAAGTAGCAGAAACCAGCAAACAAACAAACAAAAATAGGTATTCAAAAATTAATTTCTACAAGCCCAAATTCTGTCTCTGTTTAGGACTGAATGATGTCACAAATTTGAAATGGATTTGGAACTAACATTAAAACTGAGGCTGAAGAAATTACCTGTGAAGAGCAGAGACCCTGTAGTAATGCTGTGATACAAATTGCGTTTAGGAAGGTACAGTCCCATCATTTGCTCCAAAAAAAGGAATGATTGAAAAGGAGGTGGTGTTTACAGCTATGAGGGCAGAGGCTGAATCAGAGTGAAATCAAGCACAAAGATCTGGGGGAGGTTTTTTATTCTTCTATCAAAATTGCCTCTTCTCTCCATATGTTCAAGAAGTATACCTCCTAAAGCCTCCTCACAGCCAACGAAAAGCCTTTTTCCTTTGTCTGTGGCTCAACACAGCCAAATTTTACAGTATAACATCAGGAGCTAGCAGTGTGCTCAGGTGGTGGAGAACACTAACATCATCCTGGTTTGTATCAGAACTAGTGTGGCCAGCAGGGTGAGGGAAGTGATTGTCCCCCTGTACTCAGCTCTGGTGAGTCCACACCTTGAAAACTGTGTTCAGTTTTGAGCCCCTCACTACAAGAAGAACATTGAGGTGCTGGAGCATGTCCAAAGAGGGACAAAAAACTGGCAAAGGGTCTAGAGAACAAATCCTATGAGGAGCTGCTGAGGGAGCCCAGGTTGCTTAGCTTGGAGAAAAGAAGGCTCAGAGGAGGTCTTAGTGTACTTTATAGTGACTGAAGTGATGAATCTCTTGTACCTTCTCTCCAAGAGCTGCTCAAGTTTTTTTGTGTGTTTTTTTTTTTCTTTCCAAACCTTACCTTTTCTTCTTCAAACAACTTAGATAAAGTAGTCTGTTCTCAAATTTGGAAACTGGTTATTCTAACGTGGGTTTCTCTGAAATTCTATGAGATGAAAGTCTTGGAAGGCGCCTGTAATGCATCAGACAAAAGAGAGAAAAAGTAGTTTCACTCTCAGAAATATCTAAGCATTAAATGAGGTTTCCTAGTTCCCTGAAACTACTGGATTTTATTAAGATCTCAGTTGTCACTTAAAGGGAGGTAAACATTTAGCCCGAATTCATTTTTGTGTCTTTTTAGTCATTTTTAGTACCTAAAGAAGGCCTATGAGAAAGCAGGAGAGGGACTTGGGGGCTTTGGGCAACCTTGTCTAGTGGAAGGTGACTGTGCCCATGGCAGACAGGTTGGAACTGGATGATCTTTAAGGTCCCTTCCAACCCAAGCCATTCTATCATTCCATGATTTTGGTTAGTTTGCAGGAACACAATGAACAGCTTGAAATTATTGTGGGGAGCTGTAAAGTACTTCAGCCATCTTATTACGTGGCTAACTCTTAGGACATTCCTATACCATGTAAATAAGGGCTGACCCGAAAATGTGAACTCTCACTCCATGTCATTCTCTGGCACCTGAAGCAGTATAGCAATATTATTGAAGTATTATTGCAGCCCGTTGGGTTAATTGTTTCTGCCTTGCAATGCTTTAGGAGAAAAAGTAATTAAAGGGCTGAGCATCACATTGACACAACAATGCTGCTTCTACAGCCTGAGCAGGTGCCTCTGTGCAGTCTTTTGTTCTGACAGGTTACATGGAGCCAGCCTGGGAAGCTCAAAACCCTGCATTGTGTTTGTGAGAGACACCAGAAAAGTAATTTTTATTGTGACAACAAAGCCCATCGAATGGCTGGTTGCATGCCGAAAGGAATTATTTCCATTTTTATGATAGAGAATTGAGCAAATTCAATAAAGCCAGCCAGGTCAACGACAGATCTGAGCAAAGGAAGTGCCAGGAATACGCGGGAGCTGGAAAAGGAGGGCGCAGGACTGCTCCCTGTGGTGGCAGCTGCCTTTCAGGTGAGGTTAATTATGAAGTTTTCAATTAGAGAATTAATCAGCTCTTTTTCCTGGAAGTCTTGTGAACTACAACTCCCATGAGGCACCGGCGCGGCTCAGGGCGTTAACCAATCAGGCGGGGCGCGGCGAGCGGGGCGGCCAATGGGAGACGGAGGCTGGCGGCGGTTGGAGGTTTGAATTTGAAGGGGGCCGGGGCCGGTGCGAACGTTGCGGCGTGGTGCTGGAGGTGCGTCGCGATCGTCCCTCAGGGCTCGGCCGCTGCCGTGAGGGAGCCTCTGGCGCGGCTCCTCGGGGGCTGCCCCCAGCCGGAGGTCGCTGCCCGCCGGCCGCAGGGAGGGTGGTGGTGTTGGGAGGGCGAGGGGAGCACGGGGCGGGATGGAGGTGGGGGCGGAGGCGCCTTGCTCTCAGTGTTTTTCCCCCTGAGATCACCTGGCTGGGGTTCTTGATCGTAGAGGGGGGCTTAGCTCTGTTTTCGTGTGATTGCTGTGACGGGGAATGAAGTGCTGAATGTCTGAAGCGTGAGGTCTGTGCGATATGTGTAAGGCTATGCCGAGTGTGCGCTGGATAGGCTGCTGAAAGCCAGACGTATCAGGTTTTAGGGTACTATCCTACCTAATGTATCGATATCTTACTGTTTTTGCTCTCAATGCAGAATTTAAAGGAGAGGCTGTCATGTCGCAAGACTGCAACGATGAGTGGGAGCTAAGCAAAGAGAATGTGCAGCCCCTCAAGCAGGGCCGGGTCATGTCCACCTTGCAGGAAGCACTGGCTCAGCAGGAGGCTTCCACTCACACTGCTGTTCAGCTCAAAAAACAGTGAGAAAGATTTTAGACACCTTGTTTTCCCTTACCTTCCTGCCTTCTTGTCAATGTTTCTACACCTTCTTATGTGTGCCAGTGTTTTAAAAGTATAGAAAAACAGAAGATTAGAGAGAGATTTTGTGCTAGTGCTGTGCTACAGGTACTTAGGGCTTAGGTACTTGTGGATGCTGCACAGCACAGATGGTTATTTTTAGGTTTGCAATGAAGTATTGTCCTGGTTTCAGCTAGGACAGAGTTAATTTTCCTCCCAGTAGCTGCTAGGGTGCGATGTTTTGGATTTAGCATGAGAAGAATGTTGATAACGCACTGATGTTTTAGTTGTTGCAGTGTAATGCTTACACAAAGCTAAGGGCTTCTCACCTTCTTGCTCTGTCCTGCTGGTGGGCAGTCTGGGAGGGGACAGACCCAGGACAGCTGACCTAAACTAGCCAAAGGGTTATTCCATACCATCTGATATGCTAAGCAATATATAGGGGTGGCTAGAGCTGGGATGGGGGGACCGACTACTCAGGGATAGGCTGGGCATTGGTCAGCAGGTGGTGAGCAATTGCATTGTGCATCACTACCCTGAACAAGGGACTGCCTGGGGAGTTCTACAGGGCAAAGTGAGAGCCACTACTTAGCACAAGCCAATGTTTTTATCTGACTCACACTAAGTGGCTTTCTTTCTTGACTTTTATTTTGCTGCCTGAGAGCAAAGCCATCATGTTGTAGGAATGGAATGATGCATGGGAGTTGAACAACAAGGCAAGATAGCGACTATCAGTGTGGCCCTTTAGATGTCTTCACTGTTCTCTGTGGTGTGGTTCTGTAGTTGTCTGATCATTGTCACTTTCCATTGTCTTCTGTAATCCAACCCCAATTATATACTTTAATAATATATTTAGGTAAAAGATGTTTCATGTGAAAATTAGATTTTTAATATCTCTAATAACTTTTCATAAGAGAGCAAGTGTTCTATTGGTCTCTCACATGGGAGACCGTATGGGTTTTGGGGTAGTAGTTGTTCTTGGAAGTATACTTCATAAAGGTTGTTTCGATGTATTTCTGTTCTTTTTAAATAAATGTTTCCTTATGCATTCCTTGTGAAAAAGAGTGCAAAAGGGATGTTTATTTTAGCTTCTCCAGGTCTCAGTAAAAGATCAAGTCTAAATATATAAAACCCACTGTACTTCATGTACATTTTTTTTTAAAAAAAAAAAGGTATGAGTGAGAGTGAAGGTCTTACTTTACAGAGTAGAAAATATTCAATTTATTGGATGGATTTATATATATGTGTGTGTGTGTGTGTGTATATATATAAATATATACACACACGTGTGTGTGTATATATAATAATTATAATTATTATTATTTTTCTAGAGAGTTTGAATCAGAGATCCGATTTTATTCTGGTGATGATCCATTGGATGTCTGGGACCGGTAAGCTTCTTTCTACTCCAGAAGAAATAATAAAATCATTAGATCTGTGTCACTGAAATGTTAGATATTCTTGTAAGAGCTTAGAAAAGTATTATTCTAATTTAATAATAAATTAATTAAAAAAATTAGTTGGAGCTTCTTATTAATAATCTGTAGCATCTGTTTCAATACTATACTTAATGTTTATTCAACTTTTGTTATGTTCTGTTGAAACAGAAGCTGTGTATGTAATGCAGAACTGACTTCTTATGAATATATTCCATTTCTAGCTACATCAAGTGGACAGAGCAAACCTTCCCCCAGGGTGGAAAGGAAAGCAATCTCTCAGCAGTATTGGAAAGGGCAGTGAGAGCGCTCAATGAAGAGAAGAGATACTACAAAGATCCTCGCTATCTTAATCTCTGGCTCAAGTTTGTGAGTATTTTTAGAAAATCCATTGGAGGATAGTTTTTCTTGTATTTGTCCTGTCATTTGCCGTGTTAACCTGATTTCTCTTAGTAACTGAGTCAAAAAGCATGTTGTACAACAAGTGCAATATTAGAAATTTTATCTGCAAACATATTACTTATTCTGGAATTCCTATTTCACCTTCTGAATACAATCTTCAGATGTTTTTCATGATCATTCAGTTTGGACAGTGGTATACACCATATGTTTTGTTTTGGAAAATCTAGTTGGAATGAGTGAAGCTTGATTCTTTATGTATATTGGGAGAACATAAAAATGATTTAAAGATACATTTTAGGTGTAATATCTGTCCTACCACTCATTAACTTGCAAGTGTTTTGTATCCATATTCTATGCTTAAGAAAAACTTGAATATGTTCTGGTCTTGGTTTGTCTCTGCTTTGCTATAATTTTTGTTGTTGCTATTCTTGTCATCTTAGTGAGACTTTCTCAAGTCTAGCTTCCTCAACTGATTTACCAGTCCCTGGACCAATAATAAATCATCCTTTATGTAAGATGAAGTAACTATTCTCTGGAGTATTAAAATGACATTTCAGTCAATGAACTAGCTAAAAAACTTGAATTTGATACTCTAAACATGTAAACTAGACTTAATGGGGCTGCTAATATTGACAAATACATACAAGAAGTCAGAGGTATTCCTCCTTCTCCTGTTGAGTTCCTTTTTTTGTGCACCATGACATGATACAATCATATGTTCTGGCCTAACAGCTGCTTCTGTAGGACTTCTATTGAGATAAATGTGTTGCAGGGGACATCAAAAAGCAGACGTTGACTGGAATCCTTTATAATTACTGAAATACTTTTGTTTCAGGGAAATTGCTGTAATGAGCCCTTGGATCTATACAGTTACCTGCATAGCCAGGAAATCGGTACAACATTGGCACTACTCTATATCACGTGGGCAGAAGAACTCGAGGCTAGAGGAAGCTTTAAGAAAGCTGATTTAATATTCCAGGAAGGCCTTAACCGCAAGGCTGAGCCTTTGGACAAACTTCAGTCACATCACAGGTAAGTTTCTAGTTAAGAGAAGAGCTTAGAACAGTTTTATGGGCTCTAGTGGATATCTGGTACAGTGAAGTTTTTGCTGACTTCTCTGATATTTTTTCTCAGGCAGTTTCAGACCCGTGTTTCTCGGCAGACACTACTGGGGCTTGAGGAAGATACTGATGAAAGAGACACCAGTCTTCTGGGAACTGAAGAACCTCAGAGAAGCTCACTGGCAGATCTAAAAGGCAGGGGAAAGAAAAAAGTGAGAGCTCCAATTAGTCGTGTAGGGGATGCGCTGAAAGGTACAGTCAATTGCTAGAGTCACACATGTAATGGAAAATTTATACCCTTTCAATGTGGAATTTTCATTTGAGTACAGTAGGCTAAAGGTTAATTTGCATAAATCTCTTACTTACAGCCACAAACCAAAACAGAAGTCTCCAGACTCTAACTTCTCAGCAGCTTTCAAAGAATCCAGGTTTTGCTGTGTTTGATGAAAATTCAACTTTGGCTTCTGGACCTGAAATTCCTGTACTTACGCCACAGTCATGGGCAGCACCTCCAGTTCCAAGGGCCAAGGAGAATGAACAAAGTGCAGGACCTTGGAATTCTGGAAGGGTAAGCAGTCTCAAAGTAGACTGGCAAAAAAAAAGAGAGGAAAGTGTATGTAAGTCAGTCTTCTGATAACTGAGACAAAGGTCATATTCTTTTTCGCTTTCCTGGGATTTGTTTCTAAAGATAGCAACCAAACTTTCTAGTTTCTTCCTGAAGACTCTCTGTCCCTGTGTAACCTAGTCAGGTTTAACAAGCTGATCGTGCTAAAATAATTTCTAAGAACTTTATTTCCGAAGCCGAACTTATAATTCTTGCTAACCAGAAAAATAGGTAGTTTTCCTGCCCTCCAAAGACATTGCCAGGCTAAGAATATGAGGTAAAACTAGATTCTGCAAAGAAAGGGATAGAAGCCAGACACTAGTTATTTCTATAGAAAACGGAGCAAAAGTTCTATTGATATAGTATGGTTTGGACTGGAAGAGACCTTAAAGGCTATCTGGTTCCAGCCTCCCTGCTGTGGGCAGGGTCACCTTCCACTAGACCAGGTTGCCTAGAGCACCAACCCAGCTGATCTTGAACACCTACAGGGATGGGGCATCTACAAATCCTTTCCATTCTCTACCCAGCCTGTATTTGTGCTTGGGATTGCCCTGGCCCAGGGGCAGGACCTTGCTGTTGGCCTTCTTGAACCTCAAGAGGTTTGCACAGGCCCACCTCTCAGGCTTGTCCGGGCCTCTCTAGAGGAGACCACATAACACCTACCCAAACATCATACAATATGTACATGCAGGAAGAACTCATTGCCTAGCATATGAAAATAAGGCATGTACAGCAGCATTCTGCAAGTCTGCTTGGAGTGTTAGTGATGAAAACAGAAGAGTCAAGATCAAAAGAACTGGAGAACTGTACCAATTAAATATTAATCCTAACAATATAAAGAAGCTTGCCAGTAGATGGAAAAGGGGATGACAGAAGGTTTGTTCCAGTAGTGTAAACTAATTGGAAACCAGTTTGAAATATCCCTACTACATAAAACTTTCTTCTTGGGAATCCAGGAGAATTTCAATCAGGTAGATGACAGCAGAATGATCAGACTTGATGTCATCTGTATCTGGCTCCAAAAGCAGTTAAGGGATTTCTGTGGTGCAGAAATGGTCCTTGAGAAGAAAATGGAGAAGTCTTGGAGGTTCTTAGTGGGCAGCAGAAACAATAGTATTATATGATTGAGACAATCTTGGCTGAAAAATGTCTATAGTGTTTCTGGAAAACAAATGAGGAGAAAATGGAATACCCTGCTAGACCAGCGTTCCATCAGAATAATAAAGAACATAAATCCTGACGAGGACATGCAGGAGTTGTGTCTTGCTTTTTTTAGGTGCCAGTGCCCAACTGACTGGTCTGTAATTATCTGCGTATCAGAAGGGAGGTAGTCTTTTTAAATTTATGTCTTTTAAATTTATGTTAAGTATCAAGTTTAATTCTTAGTAATGAAACCACCAAATAATCCCACACTGGAGGAAGGGGAGGGTGGGAAGGAGATTCAGTTATCAGAAGAAAAGAGAAGCTAACAATGAGTCTTTAGGCTGCTAACATTGACTCTTCCTTCTTCAGCGTCCTCACAGCAGTGCAAATTCTGGCATTGAAATGCCCTGTCCGATGACCAGTTTCACCCCATACGTGGAAGAATCGTCTCAGCAGCAAGTCATGTGAGTCTTCAGTTTGAAATGAGACCTGCATCTGAAACTATCAAAGCTGATTTGTAATATTCTGACTTAGCCAGGTAACTGAGCTTCTAGATCTAAGTAAATCTTAAAAGTCTGTCAGTCTGGAAGCTCTTAGTATTTCAGCTTGATGGCAGAGGCTTCAGTGGAGGATGCAAAAGGGTATGGGAAATATTTGGGTGTGCTCATTTTGGGGGAGCCTGTATCACATTTATACATAGTTAAATGCTGGCTTGACTCAGCATATTGAAACAAAACCACAGTTACCTCTCTTAGGATGCTACTTGCTATGAAAACAGCCCCAAATTGACAGAGGCTTACTGCTGTTTTCCCCTTATCTTCCTCTGTGCTCAACCTATCCAGAGTTTTATACTGAAACAAGCTGTCAGTTTCCATGACAACAGTGTTGCATAGGTTATGGAGGAGTATGCAATTTTGCCTGAAATAACCTTCCTGCTTGTACAGCACTCACTGTTTTGTTACAGCAGAGGAAAATGTGGTATTTTGCAAAGCTGCTTAACTTTCTGCTGGCTGATGATCACTATAGAAAGCATGGTTTCTCCCTAAGAGAAAGGTGGAAAAGAATGTATGATGTTACAGGCTGCTTCTTTGGTTTTAAATTACGTGTAATCAAAGAATTCTGAAAAGTGTTTGGCAGCATAGATCTTTCCTATGGGCTTTGTATGTTGCATGTGGACTGCAAAGTAGCTCTGACCAAGGACATACCATGATTTAAGAATGCTAAATAAATAAAAACTGTTTTAGCTATAAGACTTTCTCCTGGAAAACAGTGATGGTATTAAAATTAGATTTGACATGCTGCTCTCTTGGCTTCTTTCACTGCACAGGTATATTAGTTTTTGTAATAGGGAATTTCTTTCTGTCACTTAGTATGCAGAATATTTTCCTTGAGCAAACTACCTGCTTATTGTGTCTTAAATCTTTTTTATCCCCTGAATCTAAAATGCCAAGCTCAACCTAGCCAAAGACCTTTTATTTTTAAGTTCTTCTGTTGTTTTTGTTCTGTTTTTTTTTTTTTTTTTTTGTCAGGTAAAATCTGTTTTGTAGGATGAGTGGGTACTTGTCATCGGTATGGTCACACAGACTGATGGAACTAAAGTAAAAACAGATCGCACTTCAGAATGCACAACAATTCAGAGTATCATAAGAACTTTATAAGCTCTTGACTTGGTCTTATCAACACTTTTTTCTGACTTGATATTCTTCCTTTTTATGTACTATCATTCCATTTTTCTTGTTCGTCAATGCAACAGAATGTCTATAGACTTATTCTTCAGCTGGTTTCTGAAATTTGCTGTTTTCTTGCCTATAATCTCTTTACAGTGTTTTGGTGAAGTGCATATGATCCAAGTAATAAGTGCTTGTGTTTTCAGGACTCCCTGCAAGATTGATCCGAGCATAAACAGTGTTTTAAGTGCTCGCAAGCCTCAGAAGGAGGAGGATCCACTATGGCGGGTGCAAAATCAACGTCTGGATTCTCAAGAAAAAGAGATGGTGATGTACTGTAAAGACAAAGTTTATGCAGGAGTGGAAGAGTTCTCATTGGAAGAGATTCGAGCTGAAGTCTACAGAAAGAAAGCAAAAAAGAAAGCTGAAGGTATGCTTCAGAATAGGATGACATAAGTCCTTCTGAGATAAAATCATAAAATCAGACTTCTTGTCAGTATAAAGAAACCTCTATTATTGCAGCTGCTTTTTTCTACTGGATTGATTACTTAACTGGTCTGAAGTACAAAGAAAGCAAAATAGGTGAAAGCTTAGTGTGTAACACAGGAAATGGGGAAAGACCACCAGAGGTTTTAGTCCCTTTAAAAAGAATTCAGGCTTGATAATGGATCATGTGTGAAATACATACTGTGCCATGTAAGCTTTTTTTCTTCCTTAGAGGAGTTTCAGGCCATAATGCAGAAGAAGGAAGAAATACAAAGGAAAATTGAGGCTCTGGAGAAGAAATTAAAAGAGAAAAAAGGTGACAAGCAGCAGCAACAATCATGTGAACAGGTATTGTCCTCGTTTACCTGAACTTCTACAAATAGCTACTATTTACAAGTACTATTAAGAGTACAATATATTATGTTTGACTTTCCTTTTTTTTTTTTTTGAAAGGGTACTTCAGTCTGTTGAATCGTGTGCATTAAGTGTCACCCAGTAAAAGAAAGTTCAAGAATATTTCTTAAATGTCCTTCCAGTATAAGGGTGTAATCAAAGACTTCAAGTCTTGTAGTCTAACTTAATTTTACAAGTATTGCTGCTATGTAAAATCTGACAAGATGCCTTATGCTCAGGTATAATGAGCTTTCTTCTTTCCTTTTTTTTTTTTTAAAAAAAAAAGTCATACTAAATGCTTGAGACTGAATTGCTCTTTCAGGCCATTCACATGCAGTTTCCTTTTATATAGAGAAGTTGTAGTGCAAAAGAAGACAGAAGAAACTGGAACTAGGGAAAAGAGTGAAATGGTGGCAAAGTGTTGTGTTAAACACTGTAGGCAGCACAGCCGCTTTCTCACTCCCCACAGTGGGAGAAAGATTCACAAGGTTAAAACTGGGGAAAACTTGTGAGTTGAGATACAAACAAATTAATAGGCAAAAGCAAAATAAGGAGTTCACTACTTCCCACCAGAAGATGGGAAGTACTACCTAATTTCACAGATCTAAAATATAGCACCACTGAATCAGCTATGACTAAAATTAATTCTACCCAGCTAGAATCAGTACACAAGCCATATCTGAGATTTGTCTCCACATCTTATAGATAGTATGCTCTATCATGTATTAAGTTTTTCTATATGCAGAGCAGTCTTGATCAGAGTATCTTTGAAGCAAGTATAGTTTGTTCTCTTGGTAGTAGTTTATTTATAGTTGTGTTCTTGTTTTTAAGCAAAAAAATATATCACCCAACCTGTTATGTTTGCAGAAGTACCTAAACCCCAATTTTCCTACAGATTGTAGGGAACAAGTAAAAGTTAATTACTTTAAAGCTTTTCCTTTTCTCTGCTATATCCATTGGGCTAATAGAGTATTTTATTTTATCTTAATGCTCCCAACACCTCCAGTACCCCCAGTCCTCATTTCCAGAACAAAGATGTAAGGATAAATTTTTTTAAATGATGAAATGCAAAGTGGTCTGAATTTGATGTAAACTATGTTAAAAAACAAACATCTTTAAGCAATTGCAGTGTATTTAAAAATTCCTATGAAAATTACAGAGTTGCAAAGAGTAAAATCTATACACTTTAACTGGATTAAACATAAGAATGGAGTCTCTCTATCATGCAACTAATTAAGTACAATAAAAATGTACAAAGACCATCATTAATGCATCAGAGTTCTCATGATCCACATGGGATTATCATCCTATACTGTTCCTGGAATCTTGTTGTATGGTTTGTGATTCCATACCTGTAGAACCAAAATATGTCTTTGTTCCTACAGCCAACAGAGATAACAAAGCCTCTTCCATCTCTGGGACAAGAAGAACTTACTTTTTCGAGTGCAACAGAACTTGGGGTGAGAGAGCCTCGCTTGGAAAGGTAATAAAGGATTTTCTTTTCCAGCAATGAGAACCTGTGGGTACAATTACTTAAACAGCATTCCACATTACTTATGTTTTAACAGAAAGAGTGGAGGTAACCCTAGGCATCAGCCTGTAACCAAAATTTGAACAGAAATTGTGTGAAGATAAACTTCTGTTTGAGAATAATTTTATTTTTTTTTTATGGATAGCATAGGTCAACTTGGCTTGCCCTTTTTATGAAGTTTACTTATGTTTTGTGAGTGTATAAAATATGAGCTTGTATCTTGTTTACAGTGAATACCAGCCCTCAGAAGATATTAAGCTGCACAAACCATCTTGTTCCGAAGGTAAGGATTTAAATTTTCTAGCAGTAATGAGAAAGCTGCATTGATGGAAAGTGTTCTCTTACATGAATAGCAGAACTGCAACAAGCTTAAAAAAAAAAAAAATGCCTATATGGAATAGAGGAATGAAAATGAGAAAGTGTCCAGCACGTTTAAGTATATTAAACAAGAGACTGAGCACCTGAGTTTCTGAGAACTTTCATCATTTCAAGAGTCTTTCAGGAAGAAGATAATTTTTCTTTTAACAGCTGAAGATTTTCTTCTGCTTTTATACTCTTTTGCAGATTCGAGTAAGACTGCATACCTAAAACTCATGTTAAGATTGATAATGTCTTAAGTCATTTCCTTTTTTCCTCTGACGATTTGGTAGAAGGATATAATTATAAGTTACATTTTCAGTTTTGTTGGTATGGATATGTGCTATGTGCTGAAGGAAACTTACTTTTGAATGTAATTGACTACTGTTGCTGTTAGCAGAGGTTATCCAGTCTCTTGATGTATGCCCAGATACACGAGAGGAAGTGTGTTTTTATCCTCTGAGGATGAACAGGAGGAGCAGAGGGATAAGGCCAGCCTTGGGAAAAGAGAAAAATTTGAAGGTGTGTTCTAGAAAACAAGTTGATTAATGTGGTAAAAGTGTGGTTGTTTAACATGACAAATTAAAGCTTGTTTTCTTAAGATTTTGTCGGCTCTAACTTCCTGTCAGGACTAGTATTTTTAAGTATTAGATGTTGTAAGTAGCATTTGATATGTTGTAGAAAAACTGTTGATATAATAGAGCCTCTTGTTTTCCTCTTTAGATGTAGTTTTCCTTCCATCAACATATCCGTCTATGCCTTTCTCCATATTTGACGAATCATCTACTTCAGCAAACCAGAATATAAGGTAGAATTACTCAAGGCCTAGATTTTAGAGGGAGAAGGGAAAAACAATTTCAAACTACCTTATCAGCTGAATTAGTCTCCTCCTTGAACAGATGTGGGTTTTTATATTTGTATTTTTTTTTCCCTTTCATTATTCTGCTTGGGATGTCCATGATGACAAGAAATCATGCTGTTGTTCCTCAAGCTTAGAGCTGTTCAGGGTGTTATATAAGCTTTTTCTTTTTCAGGAGAGAGTAGTTGCAATCTGTTGGTAGTTCTGTAGTAGAAAGTGGTAGATTGAAATGTTCAGTGGATTAAACTCTTGAGAGGAAATTTTGAAGACTGGAAGCTACTCTAAAAAATATTTAATGACATTTAACTCTTATCTTAGTTGTTCTACAGATAATACAAAGAAAAGTGCCCGGTGCCCTCTCGCTGTTCGTAAACCTTCAGAATCTGCCACTGCGAAGGAAAACATACCACCAGAAGCCTGTGTAAGGAAACAGTTTAAAGGAAACAATTTCCTGTCAAGGAGAAATCAAAAAAGAATGTCCTACTGTTGAACTGAGTGAGACTGGCTGAACTGACATGAGATCTAAGCTTCTGTCTGGCATGCCAATACTTGAATTGTGTGATGTTTATAGAATCAGTTCATATTTCACTGGAATTAACGTTTTTATTAGGCTTTAACCTGACTAATACGGAGATAATGGTAGAGAGTCTTCCAGATTGTAAGCAATGGATTAGTGGTCAGGATTCTTCACTCAAAAATTTGAAAAAGCTTGTGTGATTGAGCACAACTCTTAAGCACTGCATCCTGTTCCATCCACTTTACTGCCACGCATCCAAACATCTCAGCTCCTGTTACCTAAAGAGCCGCATATGAGACTCCTTTAAATCTCTGCACTGGCTTCCTAAGCTATCTTGATCTGATGTCTCTGCATGAGAGTCTTGCAGATACTTGTAAAGCTTTCAGTAGAGGTGTTAGCTGTTGTCTCAAAGGATTTAGTTACTGCATGCTGCAGTAGACCTTTAGGCTGGTGCTTTAAAGAGTTAGAGGACTTTATTCTGAGCTGAGAAGGATTTTTTGTACAGCTACAATATGAAATAGGGTTAAATAATTCATGGTAATCATCATACTGAGTTTGGTTCCAGAGTCAGTCTGGATATCTGTAGAGTGCAGCTTTTACTTCAATGCTTAACACTGTCACCTATGTGACTCCTTTAAATCTCTGCACTCATTTCCTAAGGTGTCTTGATGCCATGCCCATATGTAGGAGTCCTGACCAATCAACACTTGAATAATGCAATTATAACTGAACTGAGAGAGGTACTTCTAGGGCGTTAGATACCAAGTAGTCTTTGGCAATGCCTGACAGCTCTGCAACACTCTAGAAGGTAAACAATGATAGACTTTTCTGAGGGGAGAAAAATGCAATTATGTTACAGTTAGGGTTCAGTTACTCAATTGGAATGAGAGATGTTAAGTGGAGTATGCAGAGTCTGGATGTCAGAGCCAAGTTGGAAGGTGGTGGGGTGGAAGCAATGGAAGTGTTCTTCATACTGATTAGGTAATGGATACCTGTGAGACTGGAATGACTAAAAGAGTCACATGAAGTATAACAGGGTTGAAGACAGAACACTATTATGGGAGATAAGCATTCCAGTTTAAAAATTCAGTGACTAAATTTTATTGTTATACTTGCAGATAAACTTAAGTAATTTTCAATTACTTTTTAAAATATGACATACTTATTAATTGCTTGTATGACATGTTATATATACTTCTTGTTTGTGGAAGGAAGCTATGTTTGAAGCACATCTTGGCAGAACTTTTGAATCCCCTAACAGGAAAGAGGGGAGAGCGTAGAAGATAGTGTCAAATAGCTTTTCAGTTAAAAATAAGTCATATACAGCCTTTTCATTGTCTTTTTCTACCTGTTCCAGGATGAGCTGAATGGAATTGAGCCTTTGTCTGAAGATGCAATCGTGACAGGCTCCTACAAGAACAAAACCCTTTGTGCCAACCCAGAAGACACATGTGACTTTGTTAGGGCTGCCCATCTTGCCTCAACTCCCTTTCACGGGGTGTTAGCTCAGAGAATCCCAGATCCTGCTTATTCACAGAGTGTTCTGAAGGAAGACTGTCCAGAATCGAAGAGTGCACCTCCGAATCAAAACACACCAGTTTGTGAGGGGACATACAATGAAGTTCTTTCAGTAAATAAACTGAGGTAATTAACAGCACTGCATCTTAAGCCCCTTTTCGTGTCTCTTTGGTTGTGCCTTTACTATTGTTTCTGAAGAAACAATTTTCTGAAGAGATCAGAGTATAATGAATGCTTTCTCTAGGTCAGGATCCATTTTGCCTTAAGCAGATATAAGAAGTAATAGCAAGCTCAATCATCTCTTCATATTTGTTGCAAGACTTCATGCTTTTTCTACCAATTAATTTGTAAAGAAATTCATAAGCATATTCTGACTTTGTAGCAGGAGAATAAATGCAGAATCAGTTTTTTATATTTGTTTCTGTAGTCACTTCAGTATATAAAATAGATCTGATGATTATAGCTTAGACTTTTACAGAGGAGAAAAGCTGGAGAGAAGGAATAAAAAACTGCTGTTTCTTACCACTGTAAAGAAAAAAGCATCTACTGTATAGCATTTACTTAATTCAGAACTGAGTTTGATTTGCTAGCTGTTAATGTGTAAACATGTATAACAACCTGAAGGTGTGTGTTTAGTAAGTTCCCTAGAAAGACATGCTGATTATAGTTAAGAAGGAAAATCAAGAGTGATTTTTCTTTCTCCTACCCCTCTTCACTGCTTTAAAAGCATTGTTGGTCTGAATTTTGGCGCAGCTACCAGAATGAGGTAGTAATAAATGTTTGTCATTTTCTTCCACTGTAGCAGTTCTATTTAAGAATAGAAGTCAGCTGTAGATTAAGATTCTGATTGTGAACTCATTGAAAGTAAAATGTTGTTTCAACACAGTTGTACGCTTTCCAGAAAGGATAGGGATGGCTTTTTTTTTTTTTTTTTTTTTTTTACAAAAACAGTCTAGGAGCGCATGGTATCCTTTCACTGGTCATACCCTGCATTTTCTGAAAGTCTGAATAGATGATGTCTTTTATTCACAGTCCAATCATGGAAGCAAGCCTGGAAGATACTCGTTCATCAGGTTCTTCTGTCTCCTCGGGATCTTCTCTTTCTTCTGTTACACAAATATCCACAATTAAATACCTGCACATCCCTGAGAAACTGGAACTTGCTCAGACTTTGCCTGCTGAAACAATTACTGATTCTGGAGGTATCAGTGAAAACATTACTGGTTAGTACTAAATTGAATTTCACTTTCAACAAATAACTTGCATCTGCTGTAGTTACTCTGTAGTGCATCTGCGTATCTTATGTTTCACTCTATTTTCTGTGTATTTCCCACTACACTGTCTTGTGACTGAACTTGTCATTTTTCTGTACTATATAGTGCTACCACTCAAGGTATGTAGTATAGGGTGCTTGTCAGTGTCCAGAAGACAAATATTTAATGTAATGGACAGTTTCTTTAGGTGATAGAGAAGTTTTTTTTAAGATATTATTGCAGAGAATGTGTGAGTTGAGGTTAAATGCAGAAATGAAAAACTCTGTCTGGATGGTAGGGAGAATACTTAAGACAGCTTTGTTTTGACTTTTCCTTCTATCATCACGCTGTTCTCTTCATAGGCCAGTAGTTGCCACATTGAAAAAGGCCAATGAATTTGAAGTTTAAATTTGAAACAAATATGAAATTTTCTCTACACTCTAAATTTTCTGTAAACATTAGTGTGTCTTTGCAGTATTTTATTCTCATTGAAGAAAAACAAAACCAATACTTTCATAGTTAATTTATTACTTCTAGACAAAGACCTATGTTTCTCTGTTATAGATCATTGTTACAATTAATACAGAAATGGTCACCACCTTCAAAACCTGGCTAGTACCATTAAGTTTGTATTGAACAAGTTTTCAAGGTGTTTAACCTCTTCTGCCTCCTTTGATTTCGGTTTATGACATTTTAATCAGACGTGTGTATCTGAAAATTCTCAGTGTGTCTACTTTAGGGAACAATATGCTGTTGTGTAGCTCTAGACTACATTATTTAAGAAGTCTGTTGTACCGCTCATGTTTCCTGATGAAGCATGATCAGGAACTCAGGAACTGGAATCAAAGTAAAGTTATGAGAAAATTATGAGAAGAGTGCTGCAAACATAGCTGGCACTTCAACTAGATCCTACAGCTTCTTCATATTTGCTACTCTTTGGAGAAGGATGCAAGATCTTTACTTATTTTCAGAAAGAGAAGGCATTTGTTCAGTTGCTCTAATGGTCCTTTTTTCTCTTATTACTTTTTATTCCTTCCTTTCTGCACATCTCCCTTGAAGTGCAGTTATCAACCTGGATGTAGTAATAAGTAATACTTAATGCTGCATAGCAGGAAAAAGTACTTCAGGCATTTGACAGTTTATTACTCATAAATTTCACAGAACTATGAAATTTGTAGTGATAGAATAGAACATGTGTTTAGCCTATAAAGTACAATATTTCCTGGATCTGCTTCCATGGACTTACTTGTACTAAATACAATGCTGTTAAATAAGTACAATAGTAGATAATAACACTTTCTTACTTCTGTGCTGTGAAAGACTATAATTAGTAATGGGTGACACCATTTTAGTGTTTGGGAAAGGAAGTTGGCAGAAGCCTTCTAGTTCTGATGTGTTTTACTTGGCCTGATATTGGAGACCAATACTTTTCAGGCTACCTTGATTTGGGATAGATGATCTCATCCACTGACTGGTGTCTTCTGTTATGCAGAAAAGCAACTGAGACATACATGTAACTTTCTTGTACGTTTTCATGAGGTGAAATCCATTAAATCCTCACTGTAGAGAACAGCAGAGTTGGAGTCCAATCTATTCTTTCCTAAATAAAAACCCTGTTGTATTCAGAGAAGTTAATTTCAATTAAGCCCATCGCTTCAAAAACCACAAACTGATCACTTACTCCAGATATAGTTTTTAAAACAGGAAAGCTAACTCACAAAATAATGGTTTTGGATTCTGCTGTTGCTGAGCAGATAGATGAACATCATCTAATTCAGAGTTTTGTCTCTCGTGAAAGGCACGTCTTACAATACACTACAGTAGTGTCATGAATCTCATGAGATGCGCTCCCTTTTGAAACTGCCTTTTATAGAGTTATGTTCATAGAACAAGAAACTATTGGGAAGAGACTAATGGACTTGCTGAAAGGTGATGCAGTGAATCTGTATGCAGATGGAAAGCTAAATTAAAGGCTTCCAATATCTAAGTTACTTTCTTTTTGACAGATACAATCGTTTCAGAGACTCAACACCTATATTGAGCTCATCTGTTTCTATTACTTGTCTTCCTAGGTGATGTAACTCCGCTCTTGTGGAGTGCTGAACAGCATAAAAAGCTTTTAGATCCCATGCCAGAATCTTTGACTGCCTCTCCAGACTTTCATTTGGAGACTGGCTCTATGCCTGTCATGGAGTTTGAGAAAGACATTAAGCTAGGTAGGTATTCTGGACACCCTGGGGAGCACAAGGGATCTACTGATGTTCTAATTGGTTTGAAATATACTCCATATTCATGCATACCAGTTTTATGTGGTGTAGAGGGGGAATAACATGAACAGTCTTGGATGCACATTTGCTGTGACAGCTCATGAAATGTAAACTTTCATAACAGGAGATGAGACTTACTCTATCAAATGGGAATATTGGACCAATGAAGAACACAAGATGTTTTTTGTGACTCTAGCTAACTTTGCCCAGTTGGATGCAAAGGGATTTGTAACAAAGGTAACATAAATGATGTTTTAACATTTTGCAGTTCATGTATAAAGTTCCTATGAGATATAACTTACGTTGTAAGTGAACTTGGCCATGACTTCTGGAATTCCATGCATGAAGTTTGCTATTCCGTGTCCTTTTTCAAATTGCTGATATATATTCAAATTTTGTGACTGCGGCAAATGTTCCTTGCTAAACTGGGAATTAAAAAAGATGAGAAGAATGCGAAGATGAGCAATTTTTGCTTTATTCCAAAAATAAATGTTCTTATGTATTCTCTTGTAGGTGTATTCTCAGCCTGTGCCTTGGGACTTTTATATCACACTTCAATTACGGGAGCGTTTGAATACTGACTTTGACCAAAGCTTCAGTGAAAACTGCAGCTGTTTCTTATACCAGGATGGCTGTGTGATTCTGCACAGGGATGTAAATCGCTTTACGCTTGCGGTCAGTACAGATAACCAAAGTACAATTGCAAAAGACATGAACTCTTCCATAGGTACTTAATAGTGAGTTTTGGTTATTGCTGAAGATAGCTTCACATGTTTATTCTTGCAATCTAAATCCTCTTTGTTTTATCTACATACAAATTAAGGCCATCTGTTACAGCCTTAGTTAAAGCTGGTTTCTCATTTATAGATCATGTGTTTCTCTGAAACAAACCCATTTTTTTAAGCTTTATTCATGAGTGATAAACAACCTGAGCCCAGAACCACACGTTATTTCACAATAAGGCTTTCATCTAAAACTCTACATTGTTTAACTTGGCATCTTTCAATGAGTTCTGTCTGCCATAGAAAGGTCATAGCGCTCAATGACTTGTTGAAGGATTTACATTTAAAATAAAGTCTGTTAAGTGCATTTTGGGTTGTTGCGTATAAATTAAGTAGGGTATAAATCAAAGAGTCATTTCAGTCTTAAGTTCAATTTTTCCTCCTGTTTTTGTCCATTTCTTAATAATGGTTATTTTAATTCTGGCTGGATGTTCATGGGAAAAACCTGATTACACTAAATTTAGGGTAGGACTGTTACCTTTATACAGTTAAGTGTGTGTGTGTGGGGGGGGAAGGTGAGCTATAAATATTTCACTTAATCTGTTGTACAGATGCATGTTTATTCCTTGTTTTCAGGATCTTATTCGTGGCTGCAAGTCTATCGCAAAGGAATTTATCCTGCTGGTTGTTCATGATCTCCTGAGCGTGGTTGAGAAGCTCCACAAAGCAGAAATTGTCCATGGAGATCTGAGGCCAGAGGTGCTCTTTCTGGGAGACAGGTTAGTTTCTTTGTATGGATCTGAGAGGATATGTAATACTTGATTTCAGCTATAACTCTTTGTAATTTATCCCTTTTAGTTAGGAAACTGATGTAACAGTTCAGGTTTTTTAGGCTGCAAAATTCTGAACAGTGGAAACACTTCTGGAGTCAACCTTATGCCCATGTGCCCTCCCCCATAATATATAGTGATGCTGTAGAATGTATACGATACTAAATGTTTTTGCTATTGTCCCTGTTTCCAAATTTCTCCTTTTCCAAAATTCTGGACAATTAACTGGATACTGGTGAATAACTTGTCTTTGGTCTTGCATATCGAGAAAACACAAAATTAGAAAACAAAGGACAGATAGAACTGGAATACCCATAGAACTGGAATACCCAGGCACTCTTAAATGGATTGCTTAACTTCCACTGTAATCCAGCTTGTAACTTAATGTATGCATAGATCTAGTTTTCTGCTTTAAACTTATTCCTATATTAAGTTTAAAATGTCACATATCCCTTGGAGTATGATCTATGAATGGAGTGTGGGAAGGTAGTAACTTAAAGAATATCTAATGATTCAAATACAATTACATTAGAATAAATTCACTGAAGCAGTTCTTAGTCATTGCTGATAAATTAAAAATAGCTATTGACTTTAAAGTAACTTTCAACCTACAGGCATCTAACACGGTAATGTCTAAACTTGTTTGTGCAACCCTATTGGGGGAAAAAAAGGGGAAGGCACTTCCAATATATGTATACTTGTTTATAAGTTATTAGTATGTTAGTAGTATGTGTACATGCTCTTCACGCACCCCCAATGAATTGTCTTGCACACTTTCTGGGGTGTGTGCACCCCATTTTGCAAATCACTGATCAAGCAGTGGTGTGATGGATTTGGCTATCTGCTGGTACGTTTATTATGATTTCTCTGTGGAAAATGCAAACCTAATCTTAGCTGCCAAAAAGTAAGGATGATGATAGGTTTTGGTGTCATAGGAAAAAAAAACTATCCTAGGACAGGTGTATAATGTAAATGCAGTCAAAATCATGAAGTATGCTTACAGCATGCAAATATTAAAAAAAAAAAAGTGGGAAGTGTGATCTGTTTATATTGTTGACTTGGCAGCTGTCATCTATACAGGTACTCACTTCTACCATTTAGGTTTGTCCTCACTGGTGTGTGGACTAGGGAAGGTTTAATGAAGTATGATTCTTAATTCTTTCTTGTATTTTGATATCTTGAAAGAGAGGGAGAAGTACTAGACGTTATGTTGTTTTCCTGTTCCTCCAACTCAGTTTCAGATAACTGATTAATATCAAAACAACGTCTTTAGTGTTTCTTATTGCTATTCTGGAGATACAGGTGTCATCTGTAAGCTTCAAGCTTCCAGCTGGTTCCCCTTTCAGGGGAAGACCTTTCAGTAGTAGTTCTTAAGCTAGCCATCAGAGGGGAGCATTGATGTAGCTAAGACTTGCTTCTTGAGTTTGTTTTTTTATGTGTTGATCTGCTTTATGCTTCATTTGTTTTCTCTACTCAGTATCTGTGACCTACTTGGTTATGATAAGGTGACAGGAGCTCTGAAGGTAGTGGATTTCTCTCACAGTGTGGATTTGAGATTGCAGTCTCAAGTAAGCTTGCCCAATAATTTTCCTATATCTCAGACTCCTCATGGACAACAGCTTCTGGCAAAAAGTTCCCTTCCTTATCAGGTAAGTCTGTTTGGCAGGATACCTTAGTTTCTGTTTCCTTTTCAAAATCTTGGTTTAAGTTGTGTTTTATAGAATCTGTGGAAAACACTGAGAATTTCTCATCTGCTTTACATCTTTGGCATTAACTGAAGGGGTTAGCAGCATTGTTCTGGAATTGCTGGGTGCCTGTGACTACTGTATGTATTTAGGAGTGTAAAGGAAGACTAGAATTCTATTTTGAAGTTGTTTTGCTTAGTATCTCCTGAAGATCCTGATGCAAAGACCAATACAGACTTAAATATGTAAAAGCACCAACATTAGAGATCTGTGGTGAACTGTAGAAATCAACAGAAATTGAACTTTCTAATGTTTGTTATGACTGCAGGTAGACTTGGTTGGCATTGCAGATATAGTCCATTTGATGCTGTTTGGTGATCACATCCAGGTCTGTCAAGAGAATTCCATCTGGAAAATCAGCCAAAACATATCAGAGTAAGTCCTTTTTCAGAGGAGGCTACTGGGAAGTAACAAATTTCTTCCAATTTCCTTCACTTTCTTTAGTCCTTCATTTCTAGTGTTACTATTTCCAAAGCTTAAAACCCAGCTCTTTGTGCTGTAGCTGTCAAAAGCATATGATCTGTGGGGGCCTGATTTTTGAAACTACTAGTCTTAGTACCAGTACTGCTAGACTTACTACTGGTACCCTTAAAGTAGACTTACTACTGGTACCCTTAGAGTTATGTAGGAGACAGTTTTAAGCTGAATATATGCCATACAGTCTAGTTACAATATGATCGATTTTTGTTTTTTTTTTTTTATTTTTGGTTTTGCTTTCCTTTCAGACCAGTCTGAAAGTCTTAGTCTCTCATTTGACTTTGTAGTCAAAGCTTGGAGATGTTTATAAGTGGGTGAGTGGTAAGAAAATTCCATGAGCTTTTGCTTTAGAAGTGGTGATTACTTGGATTTTCTGCTTTTTGATTCCAGGATCTATTGAAGGGTTCCTGAGACACTGACACTAGGGTTCTGTCTGTAACAGTTATGAAAGCAGTATAATTTTAAATTATTTTTCTTCTTTTGCGTTGATAATTTTAAGCTGCACAGGCAACTGCTCCTTTGGAAGTTGGTATTTGTTCTAAGTTATTAATTTATAGGGTTCCCATTTAGACACATGTTAGGGCTGGGGCTATAATACTATTCTGCCTTCATCTACACGTTTGTTCTTAAACTAAAAGTTCGTTCATTTCATTAGTTGTGTCCTATGGAATTTTTCTGCCTTAGCATTTCATAAGGATTTTCTAGAGCTCTCCTGCTCATAGCAGAAGTTGGTTGACTGCTATTTGCATTCAGGGTCATGGTATATTAGCTATACCTGATGTGTAGATGTACTTCTGTAACTATTGCTTTAAGAAAACATACTACAGATTTGGGATTTGTCCAGTTCCCTAGCAACCTGCATTACTTATAAATCTTTGTGTTCAACTATTAGAAAAAAAAACATCTTAAGCTGTGTTATAGGGAGAGGGAAGAATTCTCCTCTCCTCTTATTCTGCATATATATATATATATATTTTTTTTTTAACATATTGTTATAGAATTATACCAGTAGTTATGCAGCTACAGCAGGCTTCTGCTGGGTACTGACTATATACTTCATATTGTACCCAGTTGCTTCTTTTTTTTCCTTTCTTAAGAGGATCAACTTACAGGACTAGATGAGAAGAACAAAATCGCCAAGAGCAATTCACCTCTGAGGAGATGAATATCAATTATATATAGGTTGGCAGTAAATATGTATTTTATATCACCTTAGTTTCAGAAATACTGGAACATTCCTCCTTCCAACCTCTCCCCATCAGCTAAATCATTGATGGAAACTGACTTTGTCTTTCTACTGACAGATATTATGATACTTCGTATCTTTAAGTAAAGCTGACCTGTTCTGAAAGATAGGACTCCTGTATATTCATTTCTATCAGCACGTAATCCATTTTTTGCAGTATTTTTGGGGATAGTGGGATACATTTCTGAGAAGTTTTGCTTTTTAATTTTTATTCATTTTTATTCTATAAGAGATGAAATTGAGCTACAACAGATGAAACCAATCAAGGTCTGAGCTGAGGAAGGGTGTTAGGGACCTCATCAGGATGTGGGTATGAGAAAAATAACAGTAACTTTAGATAACTGGACCAGGAGTATGTGAGTATCAGGTATAGAAAGTCTGAGTTTGGAAGGATAGGACTGACCATTATGGGGAGTTTGGAGAGAAGGAGTCAGTTGGAAAGGTATTTGGGTCAAAACTGCGGCCATTGGATTGAAGGAAGGGCTCAAAGTAGAGGGAGACTTGGGTAGAAGAGCATTTATCACAGAACTGTGTGGAGTTAGAGGAGACTTAAGGAAGAAGGTGAAGTCTGGGCATGTGTTTTGTATTGCTGAACCCAGGCTGTAATGACTCTTTTCACACTTGGGTACATTGGTTTATGTCTTTTCTCTGGAGTTGTAAATACAAATAGCTTATTTTCAGTCCTGTTTATTATTTTGCTGCTGAAAATGTGGTTGTGCCTATCATTCTTTACTAATTTTTTCAATATTAAGAATTCCAATAAAGGCGTAACTAAAACACCTATACAAACATGTTATCCTCAAGCGTTCTACCAACAGTGTAAATGGTGTACTTCATTATGTAGGAATCAGGAATCTGCACTGATTTTTTTTTTTTTTTTTGCTTGGCAAAGTTCTGCATTCACACTTAAAATCTTTTGGTGTGTCTGGTTCTTACTAACAGCTAATGATCCTTCCTCCAGTCAATTTGAAGCTCTCAATAAGTTCTCAAGTAATCTTTGACAAGCTGGTTTACTGCTGCAGGGAGCCTTCATCCACCAGAAGGGTCTGCCCAATTAAAGTACTCCCCATTTGATGGATATTACTTAATCTTGTTCTCTATCCTTGCAAGTTGAGAATTGCAAGGCAAAGCACAAAAGTGGCCTTAGAGACCCAGTGGCACTCAATGCTGCCTTAAAAGCTGACAGAATGAATGCAAAGCAATTCAGTTGAACAGTATGGTGAAGACTTCTGGAAAGACAGAATGTGAATTTTGATCGAGTTTCTATTTTGATTTTTGAGCCTTACTATAAGGTTGAATTTAATCTTTTTTTTTTTTTTGGTAGGGAATTTTAGCATGTTACTGATGGAAACTGTTCAGTTCCAGAAGTATTTTTTTTTTTAGTTTTTCTATTTTCACCATGTTATTTTAGGAAACTTCATCTGTGCAGGCTGATAAGGGCTATCATACAGAAAATGTGTTTAAAATTTTAGGACTATTTTTGTCACTCATTAACCCCTTAGACATACTTACCGACATGTAACATCCTCTGCTTTTCCCCCTTACTTGCTGTGAAGGAAGTGGTCTCATGTCTTTTTTTTATTGGGTTCTGTATGGCTTCATTATCTTAGAAAATGTAAGAGTTATTACTGTAATAGTACAGGTCAGATTCTCTCTGAGACGAGACTAAGACTGCTGCTGTTTTGTGAGTCGCTTACATAAAGCAGAGGTAGATAACTTGTTCAAAAGCCAGCATAACTCCTGGCTTAAAGGGGAAAAGTACTTCAGTAATCAGAAACAGCACAGTCTATGGTCTTCAGTGCAAGACTGAAGAACAAAATATTAGCTCTGATACTAGTTTTCATAGACTTCAATGAGTCACCCTTTTCATGTTGTGTGGGTATATCTGTGACATCTGTGAGATAGTATTTATTACTATTAATTTTCTTTGAAATGCTCTCTGTATGGGAACTCGTACAGATGGAAGGTAGAGGTTAAAAAACAAAACTCCAAAGAGTTCAAAAACTGGCTGTAAACCACCCATTTTTTATTTTTTCTTGGAACTTTCCTTTAATATCGAATAGGAAACTTAGCCTGTAAATGGGAGTTTAAGAGTTATATCCGCCCCGTATTCATGAAAAAGGAATCTGTCAACTTTGGTGCAAAAAATCCTCTTGCTAACTCATTTAGAAGTGCTGTGTCTCTGTGGGTGGTAATAGTGGTCAAGTACACTAGAAGAGTTAACTGTAAAAGCATTGCTTTTGATAGAACTGTGAAACAGCATGTTTAGATATGAAGAAGCCTGCTGGAGAAAGAGCCCTACACATAAACCAAACAACATTCCTAGTTTTCCCTTATATATGGATGAAAATGTTGTTATTGGTCTTCCCAAAGCATATAGTGCTGAATATAAGTGGAAATATTGACAAACATAATATGTGTGCCTACTGTTTCACTGAAAATTACTCTGTTTTAGGACTGTTGGTGGTGATTTCTGGCATAAACTTTTTGAGCGATTTTTGAATGCAGATGGTAAGTCCACAGTGCCTCTGCTGAGGGAGTTGAGAGAGGAACTAAGTGACAAGTTTGACAGCGGTTTCCAGAAACATCTTTATGAATTCTTAGCAGCAGCACTGGGAGACATCATCGTCTTGGACAACTTTATCTGATTTCATAGAGAACAAAAGTTCCCGTCTATAATACACATAACTTATTTTTTTCAAATGTAAGCATGAGCAGCAGTTGTAGGCATTTCTATGGGACTTGCTAAATAATGTTGCATCAGTGCATAGCTATCCTGAAACTGTTAGGTGAACTAGTCTGTGTCTGAGAAGTTTGTCAGAGAAAACAAGCTGTTGTAACTGCCCACTCCCCTTTCTATGTAGCTTCTCAGAAATTAATTTAATATCTAGTTCACCGTGTAGTCTTTGAAGTGTCTTTGCCCTACATTTAGTTGTTCTATGGTACTGCTTCTAATCACTGTTTCATCAATAAAGTTGTTTTTTGATTGTATCTTGGTTGTATTAAACATTACTGTCAGATGGTTTCAAAACACTTGATTTATTATCCATACTGAAGTGCTTCTGCCTGACTGAGAATTGCCTTTGACTGCAAGATACGAAAGCACCTCATTTGGTCGCAGCTTTCATAACCACACAGGACTTCCTGGGCACTTAATACATGTACAACTTGAATGTTCCTATTTGGAATATGTTGTCATGGATTATTGTTGTAGGAGAAGTAGGAGTCACAAGTGAAAAAGATGCATATTTGTTTTTGTTTCTTAAAGCAAGGGCTAGAGTTACTGTCTGGAATAAACACCTTTCAGAAATCCCTTTGAAGATTCTACTTGCTATATGTGAAGTATTTCCAGGTTTGTGTGAAAGCTTTTGGAGACGTATGTTTGTGTTAACTTTTAACAAACTGCATTGTTAAAATCAATACAAAGGCCTGTACTCACTTTATTTAAGACTGAACAGAGCTTACAGGATTTCATACTAAGATACTATGCAGAGAAACTTCTCAGATGTGTGGTTTACTTCCTTACAGCCTCTTCCTTGTATGAAAGAAAAAAGAACACTGCATCACTAGTAATTCTCCTGCTTAACAAACAAGCTGGTTTAGTGTCCTTTTTATTTGGTCAAGTTCTCTGGTCATGGTTCTGTGTGATTCTTACCTAACTGAACTTAAGTCCATATTTTCTACTGTTGTTACAAGCCACTTTCTTTCCTGTTCTTTCTGTTTGTCTGCCACTAATCCTTGTACTTTGACATGTGTTCTTGCTCTTCCAGATCCTTAATGTCTTCCTCATAGTTCCTTTTATGAAGGCTATATCCTCTTGTAATTCAGGAATAACACTCAATATGTTGATAGACAAGCTTTACTATGTCCTAATGTAAACTGCTTATGAAGAATTTTGTCCATTAATGCCTTAAATAATGCTTCCTGTAATACAAGTTGTTAGTTACTCAGTAGATAGCTAAGTAAATAATAAAATATAATAATCTTTCTCTAGCCAGAGGCTGAAGCAAAGATCACCAATAAAATATCTTGGAGCTGTGCATTGGCCTAACTGCTGTGAACTGTAAAGGGATTTACATACATGTCAGCACTTTTCATTTAGCTGAAATTTTATTTTTTTACTTACTTTTTCTAACTTGATTTTAACAAGTTGTGGGTGATCTCACTCATTGTCCTCTCATTTTTAGCCTTTACATTCTAGAGCCTGAAACACAGCTAGGAAAACAAAGTAGCTTAGTAAGAAAATATTCATAACACTATCTGGTTATCCCAAGGACCTCTCAGACTAAAACCTGTTTCCAAGCAGCATAGAAGAACTTCGGTAACATTTCATCTGTTTCATTAGTCTTACCCAGACTGGTCTGCACAGAGTTTCAGTAAAGGAAGTTTGCTCCTGATGTCTTCAAAATACATAACTGAAACTTTTTGCCTTTATTCTAAATTGAATTCTACTTTAAGGTTGAAACACGATTATTGTGTTTTCTTGACTACTGTTTTCTCTGTGAGCAAAAAGTGTTCCGATTCTTTTACCTCAACTAAGACTCTATCTTAGAACAGTAGTGCAAGAGCATGTCTTGTTACTGTTCAGTTAGGGATTGTGAATTCAAGTCCCTGCAGGTTCTCCGGCAGCTATTTTATAGCCCTGTACTGCATTCAGCATATAGGGGTATTCTGGCCTCTTCTCCCAGGTGTAGGGTGGGAGCCCATAGTGTGGGAGCTTAGAACTAGATGGACTTTAAGGTCCCTTCCAACCCAAACCATTCTGTTCTACATACATTCCAGACAACACATGTACCTCAGTGTATTGTAGCCAGTGAATTATTAAAACTACTGTTAGCAATGTAATTTAGCAATGACATTACAGACTTTGACATAAGAAACAAAAAAAAAAGAAAAATGAAGAGGAACTTTTTACAAAAAAAAAAAAAAAGTGTAGGCATGTCTGTATTTCATTCTCAGTTTAGCTTAGCTGAAAGGCTGTAGCTCTCCTGCCTGGGTTAGTCTCTGCCTCTTATATTGGTGCAATCAACTCATGTAAAAGGTCTACTTCTTTTTCCCCAGACATCCCTGTTATCTGTACAACATTTGTTTGCCAAGCACTTTGGTACAACCATGATCTATGACATTCCTTTGACTTATTTTTATTCATATAATAAGCACTGTATTTGAATTTGTAGCTCTTCCAATTGTCATTGTAGTTGTTACTAACAACCTCCCTGGGACTTCTAAGTCTGGACATCAGCTGTAATTTTGCCCTACCCTTTATTGTTTGTGGCAGTTCTTGTCATCTTGGTGTCTTTTAAAGCTGCCTCTTTTCCTGTGTAGACGTTAGGACTATTTTGATCTCCTAGCATCTTGAGGGCAAGGCTGTTCTCTACTCTAGTTCATAACTGGCTTATTACAGTCGTGGCATCTGAGGTGTCAGCATGCCTGTGTCTTATAATTCAAAATGAGATGCTTAGGGCAAACTTGTCTGAGGCTAGAGGCAGACACTTACCTGGAGGGCTGCTGGAAACCAACCCAAACATCCTATCCCCAAAACACACCATTGCTTCAGACCTGGTTGGAGGGTAAATCTGAGAGGTCTTCTCCAACCTGAATGCTTCATCTACTGATGAAGCAAAGGAATGATCATCTACTCCAACTTTCAACTTGTACAAAAGTCCACCACTAACCCATGTTACTAAGTTTCAAATCTACATGTTTCTTGGAGACTTCCTGGATGAAACTCAACCACTTCCCTGGGCAGTCTATTCCAATATCACACAACTTTTTCAGTAGAGAAATTTCTCCTAATATCCAAATTGAACCTCCCCTGGTGCATCTCAAGGCTATTTCCCTGTGTCTTACCACTTGCTGCCTGGGAGAAGAGCCCGATGCCCACCTCGCTGTATCTTCCTTTAAGGTAATGGTAAAGAGCGAAAAGGTCACTCCTGAGTCTCCTTTTGTCTAGGGTGAACAATCCCAGTTCCCTCAGCAGCTCCTCATAAGACTTGTTCTCTAGGTCCTTCAACAGCTTCGTTGCCCCTCTTTGGACACGCTCCAGCACCTGCCTGTCCTTCTGGAAGTGAGGGGCCCAAAACTGAACGCAGTACTCAAGGTGTGGCCTCACCAGGGCTGAGTACAGGGGGACAATCAGTTCCCTCGCCCTGCTGGCCACACCACTTCTGACACTAGCCTGGATGCTGTTGGCCCTCTTGGCCACCTGAGCACACCGCTGGCTCCTGTTCAGCCTCCTGCCGACCAATGCCCCCAGCTCCCTTCCCTCCGGGCAGCTTTCCAGCCACTCTGCCCCCAGCCTGCAGCCTTGCACGGGGTTGTTGTGCCCCACGTGCAGGACGCGGCACTTGGCCTTGTTGAACCTCGTCCAGTTGGCCTTGGCCCATTGCTCCAGGTCCCTCTGCAGAGCCTTCCTGCCCTCAGGCACATCAACACTCCTGCCCACCTTGGTGTCCTCGGCCAGCTTGCTGAGGGTGAATGAGATCCCCTCGTCTGATCATTGGGGATTACAGAGAACTGGACCCAGCACTGACCCCTGGGGACACACCACTTGTGACCAGCCTCCAACTGGATTTAGCTCGATTCACCACGACCCTCTGGGCCTGGCCTCCAGCCAGTTTCTAACCCAACAAAGCATGCTCCCATCCAGGCCTTGAGCAGCCAGGTTCTTCAGGTGAATGCTTCAGAAACAGTGTCAAAAACCTTACTGAAGGCTAGGTAGACAACATCCACAGCCTTTCCATTCTACACTGAGCAGTTTGTCGAGCAGGACCTGCCTTTGATAAACCCATGCAGACTGGGCCTGATCACCTGGGCGTCCTGTAAGCGTTATGTGATGGCACTCAAGATAATCTGCTCCATGAGCTTCCCTGGCACCAAGGTCAGACTGATGGGCCCGTAGTTTCCCAGATCCTGAAAAGATTCATGTAAACTTTGATCCATGGAAACTTTGATCCATGGTCAAAACAGATTTGACCGTGTTCTGTTACCAGAAAGCAAAACCATTGGAATCTGGATAAAAAGGTGTCAAGTTGACTGATGCGACTTTGGGGAAACACCATATACTTGAAATTTAACACGACTGTTCTATTTCTATTGTCTTTGGTTTCTCTCTTCTGTAAATAATGTGAAAACATCAAACTTGAAGATAAAATAAAGGTTACCTTGCTTAAGTAAATGGCTCTACGTTTTCATCTGAATAACATAACATTTCCTTAATTGTATAGTTGGGGGATATAACACAAAGCATGTGATGTTGAACAATATGAATGTTAGTTGAATCAAAGTGCCTACCACATTTGAATTCAACAAATCAGTGGTTACATTTCAGAGTTTGAAAATCTTTATTTTAACTATAGGAGAGAGAAACAATTGTAGAAGTAGGTATAGTAGAAAATCAATTACTCCTGAAGCCAAACAAAAAAAAAAAAAAACGGCTTTTTTAATAGATGAAATGTATTTTATTTTACTATCTGAAAGAAAAAAAAAAAAAAAAAAAAAAAAAAAAAAAAAAACAACACACCTGTATGATCTCTGAGGTTACTGTTTCTCTTCAGCCTGCTTTTCATTTGTATACAAAGTTGTTTCTGCATGTATTGTACTAACTAGAGATACAGCAAAAATCCTAGCTACTGGGTCAGTAGTAAGTTTTCACTAAAATCACTAATTAGATACAATTCAAGTATAGTCTAAAGTTAAATATGAAGCTATACTTAGAATAATATTATAGTCCAGATGATACTTTTTCTCATGCCTGGATAACCTGCAGTAGGTAAGCTAATCTTCTATGAACAGTTTTTTTTTCTTGCTTCTAAAGTGTTTCTGTACATACAAATATTGGATGAGAAAGGTTAGGAGAATAGAAGTGATTTATAATGTTGGACATTGCTGGAAAGTAAATATGGATCTTCCTAAATAAAGCCTGAGAATCTTATTTGTGTTATTTCTCTTATGATCTGTATATCAGCAGCAGTACTTTATATTTTTGATGTCTCCCTAGATTTCTGACTGGCCAGAGAATGGGAAGAGAACAGCAAACAAACCATACCTGAGCCCCCCAACAGATGCTATGGATAAAAAGAATCTAGGCTAATAAAATGTGCATTAGATGTGTATATATACTGTGAAACTGTGTATATGCACTGTGAGGTAAAAAACATAGCTCTGAGTCACTTACTGCTCAGTAGGCCATGTTAGCTCTATCTGGGTTTAAAGGAGTTGCTTCTAGTAGTTGTAGGGCTCATCAAGATCATTGTCTTTACTTACAGATAGTACAGGTTACCTCATCAGTATTTATGTACTGTAACGACCAGCAACGTTATATGATTTTATTGCTTCTACCTGATTATGTCAGTGCAAATGATAAGAAAAAGCAGAGTTTGACAGTTAAAAGCAGAAAAGTGATTAAAAGAAACTGTAGGAGTCAACAATAAGAATCAGAGTTCCAAATCATTAACACCAAAGCAGAATTTACTTTGAAAAGTACATCTACAGATATTTACAAAAAATGTGTTGCAAGCTCTGAAGCTAACTTGCTAAGGGTTTGCATCTTAAAAGATTATTTTAATGAAATGTTAGCAATAGAATTCATCACCTGCTCTCCTAAAAAGGTATTTAATTTGTATAAGATGGAAATTTTAAAACTGAGATAGTTGATATATATTTATTTCAACTGATAAGTAAATGTTCTATATGTCCTCATATCTGAGACTTCTCATAGCCTAGGGTCTATGTTAAATACAAAGGCTATGAAAATCATACAGTTGAACTAGTCACCTGTTTGACTGATACATTATCAGAGTTGTAAATTTGTGCTTGTGCTAGCAGAAATTACTTGACAAAAAATTTCCAGAGTGAACTACAAACAGTAGCTTGCAGTTTACCTTAATATGTGCCCCCTGTAACACT